CCGCAGAGCGGGGTCGGCGGATAGCCACTTCTGACAAGATTCCCTACGGGTACAAGTACCCAAATTCTGGCGGCTTTTGGTCCCATCTGGCAGCCTAAGCCCTAGAACTTGAGTACGTGGACCCATAGGAATAACCGCCGTTGCCAGTACTGATGATCATCACGTGAGTCTAGGACAGCGTGGTCTTGCAGCAGCTGCCGGTGCTCCGCGAGTCTGCAACTAGCATGTGAACGTTTGTTTCATGACCTTTTCATCCCAAGCCACTCCAAACACCGCAATGCTAAACCCTAAAGCTCTAACTCCCCTAAACGTAGCCCTGCCTGATTTTTGATTTGAGGAATTACGCGCAGCTCTTGCAGCTTGGCGGCCGCGTTTCGCGCTTGGCCTTGGACATCGGGCGTGCGCAGCCTCCGATTGTGGTGAGGTGGTCAGAGGGCCCTTGAACAATTTTGAGAGGTATGCGGGTGTCTGGGGGTGATGGAGAAGTTGCGGTGGCATGGAGGTTTAGAGCTAAAGGCTTGGATGATGAGAGCTCAAGACTTCAAAGAAGGTCGTTCCCCGAGAGCCTGTTCCCTGAGAGAACTGTGAGGTGTCCCGTGCGCATGGGCACGGTCGAGGCCAAAGCGGGGGAATAAGCAGTTTTCTGCTTTTAAATTCAAGCCCAGCACAAAGGTCATCTCTTTCTTCTGAATGTTGGCTCGACACAGATGCATGTGGTTGAAGGGCATATAGGAGCTGCTTACTACGTAGCCGGAAACTCTGGATGCAAACAAGCCTGAGGTCCTAACCTTACTCTCTAAGCCCTTTTTTCCCGCAATGCCACATGCTATTGGGCTCTTATTCTCAGCGCTGAGAGTCCTTGCTGCCCAATCCCTATCTGCTCGTTTTATGTGCACATGCCATCTGATATACACATTCATACCCCTCTTGGCTTGTCGAGCTATCCTTGTGGGCTAAACTATGTTGTCAATCATTTTTGGAGAAGTGGCCGGATGCCGTTGCGCTGGTGTGTAGGATCCTGGTGTGTTCGGTTTCGGACTCTTGGCTTACTGGCTTGGTTTTTGCTTGAAACTTATTTTGGGCGTGGTTTCGGCTCCTGCTGCCAAGTTCTGTTTTGCTTGAGTATGGAACATGGCTCCTAGCTCGATGCTGTAGCACCGGCGGATAATTACCGCTCAACCCCTAAGTGTCGGAAGTCATATGTCCAGCAAATCGCGGTGGGAATCCTTTTTGGGGCTTTGAGAGGTCCACAGAAGACACTCCAGGAGCTAGGCCCAAAGTCTCAAACCTAAGCCACCAACTGTAGACCCTAAGCCCTTCACTCTGGACCACAAACCTTAGCCCCCCAAGCCCACACCCATAAACCCTAAATCCAACACGCCAAACCCCCGAGCTTTGGAGGAGCTCTTGGCTCGGCACCTGCAGCACCAGGCAGAGCGCGAGCGCATAGCTCGGGCTTCGAGCCTCCCAGGCAAGCGAAAGGCCGGCTGAGTGCGTGCTCAGAGCGTTTGGGCTTCTGGTGGTTTTAGGGTTTTAGGGCTTTCGGTATTTGGGAGGATTCTTTTTTGTTTTTTTGACCTTCAGGGCTTAGGCTGCTGGTTTGTTGGGTTCTAGGCACGTGAATCGGATGATTCCGGGGTTACGGTTCAGTGCGAGCACAAGGCTGGCGCACCACTACGTCGCCTCCGATTCAAGCAGAAAGTGCAGCGTACCTGAGGCAGGGAGTGGGTTTGGGGTTTAGGAGCTTCCCACTCCCAAATGAGGCTTTTAATGTAGCATGGGGGAGCGTGGAGTTTAGGGCATAGCGATTTGGGTGCAAGGATGCAGACCGATGATTCGTGAAGCACTCTTCTTGAGGGACTCTAGATCAGAGTTCGTAGTATAGTTCCTCTCAGGGCGCTGCAATTAAGTATACGGTCAAAGATGCACGTTAGGCGTGGGGAGTGCAGGTTCCTGGGATAGATTTGAATACGATTTGCAGATCTTATATGCCCGAACATAAATTTCACAAGGCATTCAAACCTGGGCGGGGTAGGAGGGGGTTCGGGGTGTCGCGGGTTTAGGCAATGTCGTGGAGAAATGCCGATGCTTGGAAGTTCAGGTTGTAGATTTTGCTTGAGGGTTTGGTTTGTTTTACCTCCGGTTTTAGGAACCGCAAGGGCCATCGGCGTACCAGGGTTCACCAGCTGAGAGATGCTATGTGAACGTATTGTCTGGCTGATACTTAAACTTACAGGGTCTCAAGACATCTACTGTGATTTGATTTGATGGTCGAAGCTGTGGGGTGAGGCCTTGCTTGCTCTTCAACGTTTTGGGCTGGCATTTCTTGGTTTGGACTAGACGAGGTATCTCACCTGCAGGAGGACCACCCTGACCTAGGTCACCCCGATTTGAACAAGACATCTACCGAATCACCCACACAAGATCCTGAAGCACGCGTGGAAACAATAAAGGAAGCGACCCGCAGGTCAAGTTCACGGTGCCCATGGGCGTGGAAGATGCGCATGAGCAGCTGCAGTTCAGGATCGCCTTCTGTAGAGAGGAAGAGAAGCCACAACTAGATTTGATGAAGCCTTCGGTGTTTGAGCTTAAAGCAAAGCCTAAGCCTGGGAATCTCGTGTTGAAGCCTTGTACATGGGCTTCCTCTTTCTCGTCCCTTTAACTCTTTTCGTAGCTTTCTCACTCTTGAGGGCCCAGGGCTCTTGGAAGTCTGTGGGACTCTCTTCCCTGGAGCGCTGACTGCCTCCAGATGGTGCAGAAAAAGCGCGGAGACAGGCTAGGAACGCGGAATGGCACACGTAATTTAGTGGCTCGTGAGGTCCAGCTGAAAACACGGCCAGCAACATTCAAAAAACCACTGGCTTAAGTTTCCGGTTGGAAGGTTTCAGGGTCGAAGGTGATTGGAATCGTGACATGGCTATGCCCATGGCAAACACCGTACAGTTCTGGCCTCCAACTCGCAAGTTGATGTGCGCAAGAAGATTCGCTGGAAGAAGCTCTAAGCCTCAAAGCTTCAGGTCTCTCAGTCATTAACAGGTATTGTTCAAGCAAGCCGCAACAAACTCAGAAATCCAGTAAGGGATGGGTCGGCCAGATCTTCAGGCAAAAAAAGACTTGTTTGGGTTTAGGGTTGACGTAGACCTTGCATATGGCTCGAACCCTGAACCCTAAAGCCCCGACACCCTAAAATCTGGACACACGTTCTCTTTGTTTTCAGACCTTAGCCGAGGATGGGTTACGCAGACCAGCCAGGCGTGATCCCACGCGCGGTTGAGGCCAAAACTCCTATGGCTTTAGTCGTTTTATCCACTTTCGCATAGAAACATGAATGATGCATGAATCTAGTTGCTATGTAAAGACTTTCGTGGTAAAGACTTGGTAGGTGTAAATCAACGAGGAAGGAACCCTATGTTAGATGTAGTAACTCATACAGGTGCTTGTGGAGGTTTAGAAGATGTGGCTTTGAAGATTTGGGGTTCCCTCTTTTTGTAGTTCACGATTTGCGGTCGTTTAGCAGTTAGGGCTCTAGGTTTGGAAATCGTCGTTGCCTAGACGCCATGACTCACAAATGAATGGCTGATACGCTGGCAATGCTCTCCTGATTTCCCTTCCATGAGAATCGTTACTAATGCCGCAGGGGCGGGCTCTTACAAGTGTCCCAATCTTGTCCAGTTGTGTTGTCTCCATTGCATGGGATGGCATTTGGATATGCTGTATGATAACTGAGTTCAGGGCTCACGTTTTCAGGACGTGGGGCAAGTGGGGCAAGGGAGGCGGAAGTTTGGTAGACAATGCCCACAGTTTTTGAGGTGTAATTGACCAATATGTTTGTCCTGAAAATGTACCATGCTTGTGCGGAGGGTAGAAAAACATTTCATAGCTTTTGCAGATTGGCACTTTTCCATATTTCCCCCCCAAAGATGGAGCCCAATCTTAGTGCTGATTTAGGAGAGGGCGGGCGTACCCATACTTCTTTGCTTCTTTCACCACAGGACCTTTTCAGCAAGAAGCAGCAACTACTGGATTCTACTGGCGACGAGTTGCGTGCCCTGGGCTCTTCACCTCCTCAGTGGGTAGGGAGGCAAGAAAAGAATTTGTTTAGGCTTTAAGTTCTTTCGGGTCTACAGAACATTTAGCACGGACCCGTGTCAATTTTCCCAGCAGAGTGAGGCCCGCTAGGATTGGGGCGTGCTGTTTCAGGATTTGTTTGCCGGTGGGTCTATGGCCTGAGGGGTTGAGGCAGATATTGCGCAGGTTTCAGCATTCTGGGCTGGCGTTCCATTTTGATGTTTGAGCTTGGGAAAGAATGTTGGCAATCAGAAGGAGCCGTCCCTGCCAAGATTGTGGAAGCAATGTGAGTCCCCAGGAAGGGTTTAGGGAGGCTTTTCTCCAACGTAGATGTGGGAGTTTCTCAAACTCGCCTTTTTAGAGCCTGAATGAATAGGGACCCAGGAATCCCCCAAAATCTCTTACATCCCTTTGGTCCTTAGGTAGCTCGATTCTTTGAGAAACTCCAAATGTCAAACCTCGTTCATGGCAAGCCCCAGCCGTCAATGCGAAAGCCCGAGGTGTAAAGGTGTGATGGTGCTGTTTTCATTCTGCACGCAGGGCTTCGCAGGGTTAAGGCCGCGATTGCTCTGTTGACACAAGCAACAGCGCGTTATCGGCTGAGATTCACAATGAACATCATGTATTGCTCTGGTGTGCTGCTGACATTTTCTGCGGTGTCTAATATCAAAAATAATAGTCTTGGTAGGTATACCACGTTCGCCATTCTTATTATTATGACTCGGCAACATGCTAACATCAAGATTGCTACGGCCACTATAGCTTCCTTTCTTTCGCCGCCTCCAAAGGTGTCTGGGCCTCCTTCGTCGAGATTTACAATGAGCAGCACCTCGATGAGATACTTCTGTACAGCTTTGTGATTTCAGGGCAAAGGTTTTAGGGTTTAGGGGCCGTGCGCAATCAGATTCTGGTTTCGTTCGGTTTGTTTTCGCCTATTGGGCCTTTGACCCTGCCCCAAAAACCTTGAATCTTGAATTCCAAGCCAGAAGCCCGAACCTCTAAATTCTGCGCTGACCGTAGGAACTTGCTAGACGAGGAGCGGGATTCTGCATTTACATTCCAACCTCCAGATGCAACTCGAAGTTTCCCCTTCGAATTTCTTCACTTTGTTCGAGCCAACAGTGGACCCTTCAGCTGTCACCGTGCCATTTTCACCTGCAAGCCCGAGTGTATGTCGCGGCCAAACTTGGTCCCAAACCCTAAGGCCTGTGTCCCAACCCAAAAGCCACACCAGCACCACTCATTTGGCTAAAGCGGAAACCTGTAGACTGCTGTAGTCTTCATAGTTACTTCACATCATAAACGTCATGACTATGAGTCCGAACTACGGGTTCCAATATGTCCCTACGTGGACCCCTGAGGGGAAACGTGCGTGCCTGTGGACCACCCAATGTGAATCTCATAATCCGTTTTCTGCACCTTGGAGCCAGACACTACACACCCCATCTTGAACCCGTCGCGCTCCAAGCCCCAAACCTCTGCCCTTCACCAGAAATTCAACACCCAAAGTGGGTCTGAAACCCTGCTGGAGGTTGCGAGATCTCCTGGATCCAAGCTCGCTTCGAACCCAGGAAGCTCACGCGAACCTGAGGCTTGAGGGCCCCGGCGTGGGGCTTAAAGTTGCAGGTTACAAAGATTTCAGCCTTGGTGGGCTTAGGGTTTAGTGTTTTTTTGAATCATGGATTTGGGTTTCGATTTTGGGGTTTCAACTTAGAATTCCGGTTGGGGTTTTGGCTAAGCAGTGTGGTCTTAGGCGTTTCAGCTTTGGGTGTAGCAACACAGGGTTTGGGGTTCAGGTTTAGGTTTTACTCTATGATTCGGGGGATTGTTAGGGGTTTGGGATGTTGGGTTTCGGGTTCGGTAGCCAAAGGATATGAGTTCCAGTCTGCGGCTTATGCATGTTGTCCTTTGTTGTTTTTTGCGTTGAACAAAAAGTCAAGGCTTCTCAGATTTTAGTGTCAAAAACGGGGGCGATGCGATTTGAAGCAGCGCAGCCATATCTGTTGCGAGTGCTGTGTTGGGTGGCCGGAGCTTGAGGACGTATGAGGGAGGCTCAGGAGTTTAACCTTATGCTTCAGGGTTAGGGTTGAGGGATGACCTGAAACTCAAAAGCTTTTCTGCAAGAAATGCAGGCTTCGATGGCGTGGTTGATTCGATGAAGACTTTCTGTTCGGCTTGCAGGGTTCGCATGCCGCCGCCTCACTTGCAAACCTACGTAAACCAATCCTTCAATTCGCAATTTCTACAGTCGACCTAAACCGAAATTAAACCTTAAACCACCCCGGCTAGACTATAATGTCAGTTAAGCATTAATTCAACCCTAAACCGCGGTTTCAAGAAGAAGTTGTGTGAAGCAGCTCTAACCATGTTCCCTTCCCCAAGCTAGCAGGGAACTTATATGGGCCAGCGTTTGAAGCCCTTGCTGCCTTCGAAACCCCTTGCTCTTTGCCTAAGTCGTCACCATGGCCCCACCCCAAGAACTAACCTGAGCACTCGATCCTCAACCCAGGCCACTTTAAAGCACAAACCTAAGGCCCGAAGTCTGAACCACTCCGCACACCAAACCCACACCCGTGACCTAATCTTATACTCCGACCCTTACTTCTTAAGCCCTAAACCCTAAACCCGAAGCCAGGATCATGGACCACCCAGAGCTGGGTGCCGCTTGGCCCCGCAGGGATGGATGATGGAGGGGTGTCATGCTCCCCCTAAACTGGTTCAAGGGCTGTCGTCTTGCTAGCGCCCCTTCCATGTTTGCTTGGGAGAAAGTTGCAACTTCCGGATTTTGCAGTAAAGGTGGTATGGGATTACTTTTCACCCGCAGCGGCGTGTAGAGCCAGCGTTCGAGCGAGAGGGGCTTAATCTCCATATTAATAAGAAAGACGAGACAGGGGACAGGACACAGGGGATGGACATCTCTCTAGCGGTCTCTGCCCAGAGGAGCAGGGGACGTGGCAGGCAGATTGATGAATTAAAGCATGATCACAAGAAACCTCAGCCCTTGAGGATAAACTGAAAAGTTTTTCTGCTTCTGCCCAAGAAGCAGCTGATAAGAGTCCTTATCTGATTCTGCGGCAAGGATTTCAAAAAAAGACTGTGACAATACCCTTCCTCCCTACCATTTTCCCGAAAGGCCTGAGAATTCACGTTCTCCATGCATAACAGGATCTCAGAACCACTGTAATCAGCCTGTAGCCACAACGGGGATCCTTGCAACCCCGCAAGAAGCATTAAAAACAGAATCAGATTCCCTCTAGTCCCCCTAAACAATCCCTGAACTCCCATTGCTACCATTCTCATGTTTCTTATTACCGTGGAAATCACAAGAATCACCATCATTCTTGTTATGACGGTTTTTTTTTTTGGGGCGCCGGCCCAGGTGATCGTCCCTGGCCTCGTCGAGGCGGCTTGCCAGACGGTTGTGGAGGCAAAGCCACCCCGGAGTTGATAATCTCTACACTATGCCTCAGTAAAAGGGACTCTAGCACCCTCTGATCACTCCTAAATATTCCTGGGGTCCCCAGATTTTCACATTTTTGGAAATACTTGGGAGATTTTGTGCGATGAGAGGGGGGTATTCCGGCTTCGAACAGGCAAGTTGTGGGGGCTTTAGCTGAACATATTTCAAGGTTCTCAGAGCCAGTCCGTGTGACAGTTTGGTGGAGCAGAGGGGCCTGCAAGGCGCACGTGCAGCATCGTTTGGGTCTATATCTTGGCGCTCAGGGTCATAAGAAGAGGCCCTTGATATGAAGCAAAGGCCGTGCGTTCCAAGTCCTGAACCCTGATTTGTGTGTCCTTGCAACTCCGGCAGAATCCATTCAGACACTGCACATGCATACGGACAACCCTCACCTTCAGTGCAGCCCCTCTGGCAGAGGTGCGCAAACTAATCCGCTTCGGTCTCAAGAAGCGGGCGTGGGTTCCCAGAGAGTGCTCTTTGGGGTTTCTATGCGTATTGGGAGTGTTTGAAAGACTTTGATCGGAGGGCTAATGTACAGCTTGGTATGAGTACCATCAAGCTGTCGCTACTTTTTGCGAGAGCATCAAGAACAGGCGCAACCAACGTAGCCATGGGACGATGGTCTGACGGGTTATTAGGCCATTCCGTTCTAAGCGATGATTCAGGCCAGTGCATGCGACATGGCGCTACCAAATCCGTTGTCTTCTGTCCCCACAGGAATTACATCATACCTTCAGATCCGCAGGGTCTTCGCCCTGTCGTGGTTTCTGGAATCATGTATGTGTGCTGTGATACCTTGGCCCTGTTTGGAGTTCCTGTTCAACTTTCACCAGGGGTAATATGAAGATATGAAGACCCTTGACCTGGGCAGATAGCTTCAGGGCTGCGCGTATCGCCACCTATGAAGGACCTCATTCATCCCCAAGCACCGTCCGAGCCCAACGGACACGGATCTTGTGTTTGCATATTTGGGGAGCTCTAAGGCGCAAACCGAACCCGCAAAAAAAAACAAACAGAAATAATCCAAGGCGTCGGCCCTCCCGCACACCTTGAACCTCATGACTTTAACCCCTGGCCCTGGACTAGAAAAAACCCACCAAAAGCAGAAGAACTTAGACTGAAGCCACAAGCCGCGTGGCCGTTTCAGGCGGTGTGCATAAGGCGGGTAGGAATCATTGTTGGGATGTGATCCCAATATCTTACCCTGCGCAGATTTTGTCCATGCACCCGCCGTGTTTCTAGGAAGGAACCTGATGAACATGGTGGTTGCCGTTCAAACGGCCTTAGTTATGAACATGTATAAATGGAATGCAGAACTCGCGCAAAACTCACAACACTCATTACGCATTTACACGCACTTCATGCTCTTGCGCAGTGCCCAGGTCACCTCAGCCACGATCATGAACAACACCTCTTCCCGCAGTCACGCGGTCTTCGTCCTCAAGGCTGGGGGGAGAGACCGCCTAAATTGAGGCCTTGGGGTTTTATGTCGGAGTTTGTTGTTTTTTTCTTGCTTAACGGGAGCTGGGAGGGAATAAGTAATCGGAATGCGGGGACTTGATGCTTGCATTTAATGCTTTGCAGCCCCAAGTGGTTGCACGCCAAGCCTTGTTGTCTTGCCGGCAGAACCACAGCTCGTGTTGGCATTTTTGATGTCACTGCCCGTTACTTGAGTTCTGTTTTCTGTGTTCTTTGCGTTGTCTCTCGGATTTGGAGTTATGGGCCTCAGAATCAGCGGAGGAGGGCTGAAGGGGTTAGTTGGCGCAGGGTTTAGCCGTTGAGGGCTCCGGGTGCTTCTCCTGGCAGCGTTATTGTTGCCGCTGTTAGTTTTGCTATCCCCTTGTTGTTCTCATGCTGAATTCGTTCTCATGCGAAAGTTGTGTCTAGCATGGCGGGGCGGGGGTCTGTACGACCAGCGCTTATAATCCTGATAGAACCATGGTATACTATGACAAAAAACCTCATTCTATTTATTCAGGCCCCTATATTTCGAGCAACATCCAAGCATGTCGATTCTCCTAGCCACGGCGATGACAAGCATCAGCATTGGCATCTTCTTGGCGCTTCATGTAAACTTCACATATACCCTTGCAATGATACTTATCTTCACTCCCACTCCTCCTCCAACAGCAGTAGCTAACTGAGTGCAGCAGCAACAGGTCCAGCGCATCCGCCAGCGTAACGAGGACACGCTTTCTGTGGCTGCGTGCGGGTCAGGTGTAGGATTGGGATTAGTCCAGACAGCCCTGCCTACTTAAGTTTTGAGGTTCATGACGAGGTCTCTGGGGCTGCTAATCTTGGACATACTGATACCATGCGTGTGGAGAATCGCAAGCCGGCCTCAGTGAGGGTGCTTAGGGCTATCTCCTGTGCAACATGCTTCCAATGCGCAGGTGTGTAAGAAACAGGGTGCAAAGCTGCAGAATACTTCCGAGGAAGCAGCAGGGGGCATGTGCCCGTTAGTGCATGCTCTGTAGCAGAGTAGGTTACTTCGAAACCTTGTGGGTCTCCATACCCGCGCTAGAACACCAGCCTTTTTGGGTAGACGACTCCCAAAAAGGAAAAGAGAAGTCAGTGATTAGGCTCAAGCAGTATTGGATTGTAGGATCCGGTTCAAGTAGAGAGTAGGGGCCGTGAAAAAGATTGCTGGGGCAAATTCTACAGTGAGAACGTTCATCTGAGTAATCTGTGTAGCACATGAAATGGGCATACTGCATTTCCCATTTCCAGTACGATAATAGTCGCCTTGTGGTTACATTGTTTAAAAGTTCTGCGCAGTCGGCACCACCTTGTTCAAGACTGCGTAGCTTGAAGTGCTCGCGCAAAAGATTGCTGACTCGGGGGTTACAACGGAGATTCCAGGAGAACTGCTGACATTAGGAACCCAATCCTGTCCCGATTTCCCATGAGTAAGCCGAAGGATTAGGCCCTCTGCTCACTCAAGTGAAGCTCCGCTGGGTTCCCAGGATGGTTCGCGAGAGTCCACAAATGCAAAGATCAATCTGGTTGACCTGGCAGGCAGATGGCGTTTTTTTGAGTTTAGGGGTTATAATATGGACGTATCAGGGCTAGAGAGGGTTTTAGGGTTTTGGGGTTGAGGGATTAGGGTTTAGGGATTCAGGGCTTGGTTTTTCATGCTCAGGAGCGCCTTACAGGTTGGAGGATCCCGGTAGTAGCCCCGATATAATCCCCAATAAAACAATGACTTCCATAGTGCTTTCCAGTCCTTCATTCCGCACTCCTAACCAGCAAGCTAGCCCTAAAGCCTACATTCTCCTGTAAGCCTGCAGTTTTCATTTCATTTTGCATGTGTCTATCCATTAGATGTTCAATTCCGATGCTTCGGATGTTCGGGGTTTTGGGGACTTTGGGTGGACCTGAGGCGAGTACGCTAGGTTATGAGACTCCTACAGGAGGGTTTGTGAAAAGCAGGGCTCCTGTTTGAGGGTATACGTATGAGGGTACCCTGAAATATGCTAAGAGTGATGGTATACGTGGGTGCACAGAAGGGTCCCCTGTTTTGTTGGTGTCCCTGTCGACTGCGCGAGGTTTAACTTGCTTGTCTTTTTAGCCTTCAACATCAGGGTTTAGGGCTTGAGGAGATAACTTTTGCCCCACTATGGGCCGACGGCGGACCTTCAATGACACTTGCATGTTGCTGTTTTGAATCGTGCTTCATATGTTTTCCGTGGGAGCATGGGCATCGATGTGGATGGGATACTTGGAGGGCGTCCTTGTGCAACATAAGGTGGATTATATTGTAGATCTTATCCATGCAAGTGGGCGCGAGGAATGATTCATGACACTGTTGTGCAGCCAAGGACGACATAGTGCTATAGCAGGCCTCCCAGTGGTGGCGCTGTTGTGGGCTAGTTTCCTCCAACAGCAATGATTGTCATATTCGGAGGTACGAAGTGGGGCAGTACGCAAGTAACGGGGCGATACCAGGGGCCTTCGCTTCGAACCCTAAACCCCGAAACGCTCGATTGGAGGCTCGGAGAGGCACAAGGCCTCGGACTACAATGGCCACACCTTCAAAGAAGGTGCAGTTCGTCACTACGTGGGCATGTCTCGAAGTTGCCAAGGTTAGTTGTCCGTTGTGCATGAGGTTGAGAAGGTTTGGTCGTGAGGGTTTGAACTGCTTGTGTCCCTTTAGAATTTGGAGGTGCCACGGGCTTCGTGGTAGGATAATTCTGCATGGGATTCAGGGTATGAACCGAGTGGTTATTGTGTGGCCTGGGCTTTGGGCTCCACGTCCCAATCCGCCTAAGTACAAGTTTAAAAAGCATACTCCCACTGCAGATGCTATACTCCAGTATAGCTATTATTACTATGATTATACCATTCACACAATAACGGTTGGATACTATCTATATTATGATTTTATAGAGCTGTTGATAGATCGACCACTATAGACTGTTACCTTGGAGTGGGTACCTTGAAGTATTGCGCTCCTCCATGGTGGATTTCGGCACAAACTGCGAATGTCTGCACGGCGCATAACAGATTGTTCATGAAAGCCTAGGCCTTTGCCGAAGGTCATGGCAATGCTATCGAGTTAGGTTTTGGAGATTTGCGCAGAGTCTTTGTGATTTGTTTGCTCGATTCCTGCTAATTATGCGTGTTACTGGCTCTCATTCTTTAGTCATCACCATAATGAACGTTCATTCATCTCAAGCTCCACAGCCTTTCGAACAGGCTGTGCCATCAACCAGAGTTTGTCTGCATTGGCCCTCGCCTCTTGCCCTGCAGTCTGAAGATTGAGGGTGTGAAGGGGTATGGCTCTAGGGTATGGCAAGCTGTTTGTGGAGTAGTGCGTCCAGGTCCGAAATCCGGAATTTGACATGTGGTGCTTGTATCCGCAGGTATGTGTGCACCAAGTAGTCGTTCCATCCCGCTTCCCTCAAAGGAGTCTGTACACAAACTCTTCGCAGAGAGAGGCAAGCAGCAAACATTTGAGGGAAGAAATAACGGCTGCTGTTGGTGGTCGGTGCAGGCCGGACCCCATTACTTGCGAGGTTTGACAATTGCATTTCGGCTATAAATCCAATTAAAGCCTCGATTTGAGATATGTGTTTTTCAACATTAAGATCCCTATGAATACCATTCAAAATATCATGCGGCTTCTGTTCAGGGAACCAGGGCCCATAGTTTTTGCGACGCTGTCGCACGGCGAATTTGCCCTAAGGTCATCAAGGAGCTGGGAGAGCAGCAACAAAGTCGCGTGATGAGGCAGGCCTTCCACTTTCCCGACATTTTTGGGGTTGAGGGGTTAGTAGAGCTCATAGCTTGAGGTGGTATATCGTCTTGCAGCAGGGTGTACAGGCCACAATGTCAAGTACTTCAGCGTGCAGGTACGCAATTCAGTTGAGAGTTCTGGCTTGCTTTCAAATTACGACTGACCCAGCCCATGCAACCTATGAATGACGTCTTTATGTAAATACACTCCATTGCAAAGCTTTTCGGGACTGAAGGCAGCGCTCCCGAAGCATGTCCATCGACAAGACGGGTGGTGTCGGCCCCGCAGCTCCTGCACCGGGCGCTTTGCTGGAGGTTAAGGCCTGGCCTGGATTGAGTGTCTATACCACAGGAAGAGGAAGATGATGAGAAGGATGTGAAGCTGTAGACTGGGGCAAGAGGAAGAAGAAGAGAAGGAGGTGCAGGTGCTGCGACTGTTCAATAGATGCGGCAGCGGTAGTATTCTGTTTACAGTCATTGTCGGTTGTAGCTGTACAAGGAGGAGTTTGTAGTGGCCGGTATAGCAGTAGTGATGACACTCATGCGAGAGTAACACAACGTATCAACAATGGCGATAGCAACATGAATCCCCCGCAATGCTGCCGCGTCAGCTAGCTGCAACTCCGAAACGGCCGGGGGCCCTCAGCAGCAACCAGAACCCAGGCGTTGGAATGTCATGGCTTGACAAGATCATGCAAGAAGTTGCTCATTTAGAGGAAGAGGAACCCGGACGTGTTTTTTGTGCCAAAGAACCAGGGGGCCCTTCGCCTTACCGCGCAGCCCTTGCCTGCACCCGATCAGGAAGTGGTTCCCTTTCGCGCCTCAAAGCTCACGCACCTTGGGCTACTTACAAAACAGAGGGACTTAGGGGTTGAGTTGCAGGATTTTAGGAGTACTGAGTCCTGGAACTGCGGGTCATCGGTTTCCTGAACCCAGAGCCCTTATCCACCGCCCCTGGCTTACCAGGTTTCTGCTGCGAGATTCCCTGGCCGGAAACACCAGAAGTCGGATGGCAGCTGGATTGGATTCACTGGTGATGACTTAGGACTTAGGACTTATAGTGTTTAGTTCGGATACACCGGATTTCGCGGAGAGTTTTGTGCTGTTTTGCTAATTCTCCTGGAGAAGCCTGGGATGTAGGTAAGTTTTTCATGTGCTTCCTGTCATGACTATTCTTTTATTTATTGGACGAGGCGACATGTGGAGAAAGACCCCAATGCCTTTCCTTGTTGAGCTTAGGAAGGTCGCCGTGAAGGTCCCATCTGAGGCTTATCCCGAGCTTAATGCTGCCGGACTACCCGAAGGCCACCGGCAAGATTCCACGCTTGTGTCACTGCTACTGCTACTGCTGCTGCTGCTTCTGCTGCTGCTGCTGCCATGATTACTGCTGCTACTACCACTGCTACCACAACTGCTCTCGCCACCGCTGCCATCATCTCCCATTTGTGTACAAGTAGTGCTGCAACCAAGGTTGCGTGCCTCTCGCCTGCCGCCATCAATGCAGATGAGACCATCAGTGCCCCAACTCAGCGCGTGTCTTAAAAAATGTAACTCTCAATCTTACAATCAAGATCCCATTATGGTGTATAGAGGGGATCCTCCTGTCTAAGACACTTCCACTTCCAAGCAAAGCCGTGCAGTGCTTCATAAGTTTCGCGGTGTTGCAAGCATGGCGCTCTTGTCAGAAGGCATGACAACTACTATGGTTTTACGGCCAATGTCTCGTTTTCCCAGAAATGGCCGACAGCTGGTGTTTTTGCGTCTGGGGTTCAGGCTTCGGCTCCGAAGTTTTGGGTTGGGGGGAGCTTGCAGCTAACTGGACTTAGCAGGGAATGTAAATGCTCGCCTAAAACAAGGAAAAACAAAACCAACCACCCAACTACCTGTGCCCACCCCTGCGCTGGGAAGCTTTCAGGAAAGCGCTAGCCTCACCAGGGAGGATGCACCTGCCCTAAGCGCTGCAGGTAAGGAATGGATCCCTACACTAGTCCCTACATATTTCCTTCCATCAATCCCTATCATCTCTCGTGCCCCCCCATTGCGTACCCAGCACCCTGATCTGTAAAGCCTGACTAATTTGGTAGCTTCAACTGTCTTTTCCATTCTTGCTCCCATGTCTTGCTAGTCTGCAAGCTCGCAGGCACCTGCCGATTTGCAGCTTCAGTCAAAAAGGCTGGGAATGAGCCTCCCCCAATGAAAGTTTTAATCACAGAGGGGCCCCATCAACCTGAGTTGCTGCTAAGGAATTTGCATGAAGCTATCATAATATGGATATATGGACATAAATTTGGGTTCCTTATTAGTGGTCATCTCATTCAAGTTCCTCAATAGCAGCCCAGTACTACTACCGTGGGGTTGTATGGGGCTCCAAAAATTTTGGGGAGGGCAACCTCTGAAGAAGTTTTCGTATGGCTTAAGCCAGTGTTTGGGCCTGAGGGTTTGGGAGTTCTGCATGGAACACCTAGGCGAACTCAGACCCCAATGCTCTTTGTCCATACTGCTCAAGCTGGTTCATGGGAAGCTTAAAAAGGGTGCTGTAAGGCTTATACTTACGCAAGGATTCGAGCATCGCTAAAACAATTGGTTTCCTGTTATGAACGGCCGGGATAGGAAAAGAACTCCAGCAGTTGAAAAAGACTACGTGAAGGGTTTCGGGGAAGTAGGATGATTCGGAGTAGTTTGAAATTTCAGAGAGGCTTGGAGGGTTCTTAGCATGGACACCAAACATGAAGTCCCTGTTCATCTTTGCGAAGTAGGCCTGATATAGCTTCCCGAAGACTTTTCTCACTGTTAGGTTCAAACCTTAGCCCTAGACCCCAAGCTGAACAGCCCAAACATCATGAAGGAGGGTGTGCTGAGCCCCGATAGGTGAAGACCAATGCCTGCGTCAATGTGGACCGGAAGAAAGGGGTGGTGCAACACCTCCAGGACCGCTGCGTGCAGCTATGATCGGGAAGGATGCTAGTCATGTTTACTAGAGGAGCAGCAGCGGAAAGGTGACCAGCTGTCTCGTTAGCATTCTTCGCAGTGGAAGTCGTGGTAGCAGTCGCGTAGCAGCGGCAGTAGCAGCAGTACTTGGAGGCAGTGCCAGCACAGTAGCAGCAGAAGGAGGTTGAACAAGTTGAAGGGGATGATGCAGCAGCAAGACTGTGAAGAAGAGCTTTTGGCTTGTGACTGTACATAAGGGACACTAATTCACATTACTTTTTTGAGTAAGGTAAGCTCTTCTTATTTCTCTTCACACATACTTGCATATCATCAGATTTCTGCACACGTGGACACTTGAGCTTGTGCACCGCCTCAGAGTTTTCTACCGACTACAAGCATGGTTTAGCAAACACGGCAGACGGGGCGTAGATAAGGTCTTCCTAGCATCGGCTGTGGAAGCGTGATTTGCTGGTACGAGTAGTATGCTGGCAGTAGTGGTATTGCTGCTGGCATGGTTGCCGGGATTCGCCGAGAGGCGCCTACTACACTTTCATGGCATTGTCAAGGAGCGGCTCTGAAAGGTCCAACACCCTTCTAAAAACTGCAGACTCCAAAGCTTCATGGCGCTCATAACCCTTGGCTCTGCCTTCGATGCTGAGATTCTGGCAGGCCGAAATCCGCCGCCTAAAAAAGCTACTGGCGGCACGGGGCGTAGAGGCTCGCAACTTGATGTTGGGAGTGGCCCTAGCTCTGTGTCTTGATGCTGTCAATCAAGCTGGTTTGTGTCTTACTTTTTTCGTTTGGCTCCGAGGGCAGAGTTTGTTTTCCTTTTTCCTGTCCTGATCGCTGTTGAGAATCCAGACCGCTTGTGTGACCATACGGGTAGGAGCTCGAAAGGGACAGTAGTATCGCCGGAGCCCTTTTTCCGTAGGTCCTTCCAACATGTCAACAAGGATACCGCAATAGCATCATTGAGTTTGACCACAAAATGAGCTTTTTTGATATGACTCAGAAAGCAGGGGGTCTATTCTAGTTGGTATCCAGGCGTTTCACGCTACCATCTGTCACCGCAAGACTGTTGTTTTTCTTTTTCACACCGCTGCTGTCAGAAGTACCATGGCTCTCCTTTCTCTCTTTACTATGAACCAAGCTCGCCTGTTCATTCTAGGACGAAGGCCGCATGCGGAGAGACCAAGAGATCATACAGTAGGAGGGAATCTTCTAAATTACCCCAGCACCATCCTTAATTGGAGCCCCAGTATTCGTAGGTAATACCCATGTATCCTGGGGCCCCTCAGGGCCTCAGGACCGCTCATTTTGAGAATTCCCAGCCCTGAGTAGCTGGCAAAGCCCCAAAGCAGGTCGGTGCCCTCGGCGCAGGATCAGTGCAAGAGGTGACTCGGATTCGAAAGTGGACTGGTCATCGCGTATAGGCTTTCCCCAAGCTTATGTGGGGTTTAGGGTTCAACAAATTTAGAATGGCCAGGATGTATAGGGTGACCTCAGACCCTTAACCTTAAAGTCTAGGGTTCAGGGCCACAGGAGGTTTGATCAGGCTGTGTAGTACTTATCCCCGATGCCCTGGGTGCCTAAATGGTGCGATTCGTCGGATACTAAAGGCATAGCAACGCATGGCGTATACGTACTGTTTGGGTCCGAGAACGTATTAGTTCCTAACGCAAGAGGAGCTGCAGGGTAAGCAGATTGAATCAAAGCAGGGTATATACACCGCTCCCCAGTGCCAGGGCACGTATCAAGTATGCCTTGTGTCCCGTGCATTCTATGTGCTCAGGGAGGAAGGGCCGCGGGGTTGTGCGTGCTGGGGGCAGGATATCGGCTAGGGGAGTGTCTAGTTCTGGTTGTGGGATGAATGCATATAGCTGGGGACTCAGGGTTTGTGCTTCGGGGAAGTTGTGGGACTTCGTGGAAATAATCTTACTGGTCCTCACCAAGCACCCGAGCCTAAAGCCCTATACTTCGCGCCCTTAACCTCAAGCCCATTCGACACTCATCCTACACTCTAGACCACACACCCTCCAACCTAAGCCTACAACCTACTTGGAAGGGGGATTTAGTACATGGTGAGCAATGGAGATAACTAGGTCTATTGTCTGGCTTATAGGCTTATCAGTATACTTAAAACCTCCTGACCCCCAAAACCTACCCCCCACAATCACAGGAGATTGCTGACCGCGAGCGGGTTCTGAAGACGCTGAAGCAGAGCTACCAAGTCCAGGTGGAAGAGGCGCTTGGACTCGGTTAAGGGTGTACGGTTGAGGGTTTAGGGTTTAAGCTCTGTCTAGAGTATCGGACGCAGGGTGAAAGCAGAGGGCTTGGGGTGAGAGGTTTCAGGTTCAGGGTGTGGTCGTTTGTAGGATTTAAGGATGTTCAAGGAACACCTCTCAGTCTTCCGTGTAGGGTTCTTGTTTGTAGTGATTGTCATCCATCACAGGCACCACGGCAAGGGTAATGGAAATGAAGCTCTTACGAACTATTTTTTGTGATGAGGTCTTCTTCCGGTCTGCTGGTCTGTTTTTAGCAGTAAGGCTGCAGTACAGGCAACACCTCCAGTTGTCATTTCAAATCTGAGGCGCCTTTTGAGGTATTTTGAGGTCCTGGCTTTCTTCGTACACTGTGTTTTCAATCTTATCTTCAGCTGATCGTGAAGGTGCCTGGCTGCATTTTAATCCCTAAGGCTGCGCCAAATAGGTGAAGTGAGAAGATAGTTTATGAAGACCACTCTCTTATGAATTTTGCCTAAAGTCTCATCATACAGGTGCCCTGAGAAGTTTTGAGCAATTGTGTGCATGCTTGAAATTATGTATTCTCTCGCAAGGCTACAGCAATCTAATGGTGGCTTCTTATGGCTGGGTGCTCTAAGACCTTCGCAACTGCAGGATACCCAAAGCACATCTCCGAACAACATTTTTACTTGGTCAGGTAGCTGCGTGCCTTACGTACCCGGTGGGTCTTGGATACCAAGCCCTAAACTATTACCTTTTAGCCCGAAACCCAAACTCGCAGGGCAACCCTGAGCCCTTAGCCGGAGCGATCTAGTCCTGAACCTCAGGGAGCTCTTCCGGAAGCCGCGTAAGTCTGCCCACACCTGGACAGAGTGCTGGGCACGGTCCTTTCCAAATCCTAGACCCCACCCACACCTCGAAACCTCAAAGGCGCGGCTGCTGGCCACAGCGCGCGCGGAGGCGCTGAACCAGCAAGGGCTCAGCAGTGAGGCCAGGGCTTTCTACGCTGTGAGGGTCGGTGATTAGGTTTTAGGGGTATGTCATGTGTTTTTTTTGGGTATATTATGGTATATTAAGGTATATCATCCTATATCATAGTCATACTACACTGTGTGAGGGTTGACATAAAGTTTGTGTTGCCAGGTTCCGCAGAATGGTGTTATCGTGAGGCATTGTTGTGAAGACCATGAATGAAAGTCGTGGGTCATGTAGGAATTAGACTTATGTACGGCTTATCAGCGAGTCACGCAGGGGTAGGAGCTTCCGGGTTCAAGGTTCCTCAAACTTAGCTACTGTAGCAGCCCCTATGCAGATGGTTTCGGGGATGACAGCGAGTCAAACTATGAAGGGTCATTCACCTCGAGTAGGATGAAAGGTCTACAGCGCACTACAGTCCTCGAAAGATATGTTAACAGTGGCATTTGTCAAGGGTTCACCAAAGAGGACAAGCAATAAGTCGCAGGCATTTTAATACTTCCAACAAGCATAGATGCACCCGCCTTGTCTCCTAGCTGTAGCTTTGTTAGTAAGGTCGTTGGTGAGTTGGCGTTTCAATCCCCGCCTTCCTGACTTATACTGGGTTAGCTGCTTTCCTACTAACACATGTCTTCCATGGTCCTCTCGCCAATGCATCTCAGGAACCTGAAAGTAGCCTTCCCCTCCTCCTCCCCCCGCCCCCCCCCGGCCCGCTGATTCCTCCGAGGACGTGGACGAGGTCTTCGGCCTAGAGAAGAGCCTTGGCTAAATCTTGTTTGCTTGCCGTAGACAACGGACTCAGCAAAAGCCACCAGTCTTGCAGTCATCCAGTCAAGCGTAAAGTCCGGGGCTCATGCTGCAAATCATAAAGTAGAAACCTGCCAAGACCTCAGAGGTTTCTTGAATGGTAGACTTAGGGGTTGGAGTCTTGATGTCGATCCGGCAACAGCTGTGTTGAACAGGTTCAAAGGCTGCTTACTGTGCAAGGCACTTCATCTGGAGACCTGTGCGACCCTCTGCAGAGTATTTGCCCGCTGTTAGGTGTTTCTTCTCCGTTTCATCATACTCATGCTCGGCGTACTTATCCCTGTCTAAACTTCTTGCATGCAGGGCAAAAGCAGTTCAGACTCGGCCAGAACAACTTGACCCTGCCTGAGCTGTCAAGCCAACGCAACACGGCGCAGGGTGTCTCAAACTCGTGCAAGCCTTTGTGGACCTCACGTTGAGGAGAAGACTTTTTCTTTCAGTTTACACGTGCTTGCGCCAACTCTTTGGCGGAGAACGTGTGGACAACCTGAATTATCCCGATAGTGAATGCCTTCTGCAATCCTCGTTACCTCAACATATCTCCCTAAGAGGTTCAGAGGGACCCCTTCTCCGAGACGTAGCTATGACATCTCCAAGGAACACTCCGCATCTGCTGAATATGAGCAGCCTGGCACGGAACAACTTGAGGTTCAATGTTCAAGTTCTAGGGTGTGCTGAGTGATGCCAATAAGACCACGAACCCCCTGACCAGGTCATGCTTCGGCTTAGAAAACGCCTATCCTGATAAACGTGGTGACCTGCGACTCTCTGGATCTGATTGGACCAGCATGAGTCCTTTAAGCGTCAGATAACCTCGGCTTTCCATTCACATGCTTGGGGTCTTGCATTCCGATGTCATCTTATGAATGGACCTGCAAGGCGATGATCCAGTTCTGTCAGGCTGTTTGGTTTACTTCCTGCCGAAGGCCGGGAATGGGTTCTCTTTTGAAGCAGAATGACTCGTGAACTCTTGATAAGAGGAAGAATTCCCAGCGGCAACCCCCTTCCACGTTCGAGACATAGCCACATGTCGACCTGGCACTTGTACTCCCTTCAGCAGATCATGATGATTTCCGGAACTATTACGTTCATAATTGACATTACGTGTATTTCTAGGCAGGCAACTCTCACCATGGAGAGCGCAGATCCCACGAATTGTTGATAGGCTCGCAGAGCAGATAGTGCAATCGGAAGGGGCTGTGATCCAATGCCCATTTTCCTCTCAGTCACGCTGTGGTTTGGCTCTTTGAAACTAGACAAGCAAGCCCCTGTTCAGGATTTTGTTCACAGATTTGCCGCACGGAAGCTGAAAGTATTGAAGTCCTCCATCATCCATCCCCCTGAGAAGCTCGAAAAATGTAATTCGGCATAGTATGGACATATATGGGGTACTAGTACGGTTTTCCTTATGGTTACGTAGTTTAAGTTCCTCAAGAGCAACCCCCTTCACCTGGTACCTGGGACGTGGCAGGGACAAATCACAAAGGTTGGCAGCCATCCGGACAATCAGATCGCCCCTTTGCTTGCAAGGGCTGAGTGTTTAGGTTGCTGTTTCTCAAAACAATTAATATACTTCAGTGGGTATTCTGAAAGATAAGCAAGCTTGTTTTAAGGGTCCCTGCAATCAGGACGGTACTTAGATGGTAACATGTAAGAGGGCACCACAATCTTCAGAAAGCCCCCTTCTTTGCAAGACCAGAGTGATTGCTCTTCGACTTTCAACTATAGTGATTAATCGGGAGGGTCCTCTTCGAATTACACGCTTGGAAGCAGAATGCCTCTACATGCGAACATCCGCTTACCCAGAGACTCCTGCACGACAAGTCTGAAGACTCGAACCCGGGGTCTCTGGAAGTAAAGTCGCTAGATTTGCAGGTGCCCTGTTTGAACTGCAAGACCCCAAACATAGTTTGGGATGCAGGCCTGGGTGGATTCCTAGGGGAGCTCCACACATTTTTTTTTATCTCCGCCCATCTAAGATCTTGTAAGGAGGTCCTTGCTGTCGACTGAGGCTCGAGAGGATTCAAGGCACGGCCAATCCCTGGACCTTCACATTTAGAAATCATCTTTTAGCTGCCGGATCCCGTGAAACATCGTGCACTTGAAGCCAGATTTATGTCGATCTTAGAAGAAGAGCAGCTCATGAATCTCCAAGCCCAAAACTCTGCATATCCCGTAACCTCCTCAAGGGAGGGCCTGAAAGCATACTCCTCAGGTCATCCAAGGGCTTGGAATCTCGAGCTTCATCTGCCAGTTCGAGAATTTGGATCAACGCCAGGCTGGGATGCCTAGGGTCTAGGGCCTGCTTAATGCTTCATGGTCGCTGGTGTGCAAGGTGAAAGTAGAGGTAACAAAGCAGAACAAGATGAAGATCAACAGGTAGTAGCAATAGTAGAAGTGGCAGTAGGATGAGCAAAAGAATTAGCAGGAACAAATGTAGTAAGAATATTGTTTCACTAGTTCCTATAAAGGCAGCTGCTAGTCCTACATCTCATAGCATCAAAGCCATTGCGGTCTTTTTGGTACTTCAGCTGTGTGGAGTGCGCGTGTAGGCTTCAGGCTGCTGACTTTTTTGGGCCACATGAAGCAACCTGTGTGTTTGTTTGAAGAGAGCATGGATCAAAATCCTGCATACGGCGGCATGGTTTGTATGTTGCTGATTTTGGTGACCGTCATGATGCTATCTTTGATGGCGCTTCACGTTTCGATAGTCCTTATACAGCCTTTGGTGCGAATTTCTTTCTGTGTTGGTCTAGTTGTTGTGTGGGGTTTGTACAGCGCTGGTACCAGAGGTTGTCTCAGGGCCCTCTAGGGGTGTTGCCTCCGCCCCTGCAAATCAAGAACTGAGTCCTTTCTCCAGAGTTCCAAGAATTCCGCTTCTAAAGCCCAGTTTAGACAATCAACCCAGAACCCCCGAAAGCATTTTCCATGCCCCATAGATCTCGAACCTGCGCTATTATCTCTGGTGCATCCATGAGCCCTCAAACTGCCGTTTTGACCATCATAGAGGGTAGATGAAATAGTAATGAGAAGAAACGTAGTGCCTACAAGATGCCTTTCAACAGTTTTGTCAAAGTCTTCCAGATAGTCCCACAATCCTCTACAGATCCCAAGAAATGCTTGGGGCTTGTGGCCCTTACCCCTCCATTTTGGCAATTGCCACATACCAGCAGAGGCGCTGAACTTCAAGCCTCAAGTGCTGCAGCCTAACACCTAAACCCTAAGCCCTGACCTCCAAACCCTAAGCCCTAAGCCCTAAGCCCTTGAGCCTAAAGCAGCACAGGTTGTTATCTCGCTGCCCTCGGAGAGCGTCTCCTCGCGGGCACGCGCCGCTGGGTCGAAGAGAGGACGCATGCTGAAGTCCAGTAGTTGCTACATGAGGTAGGGTGTCATTGTGGGTTTTAGGAGAAAGTACGTAGTGTGTCTTAGGAATAGTGGGAGCATATATCGCGTGTCCATGCGTATTGAGACCATATATAAATTGAGATCCTACCATATACAGGAGCATGTCAAGGTGACTCTTCAATATCCTTCCTTGCAGCCCCCATGTATCTCTTAGGTTCCTAGGTCTCCTGTTTTCAAGATCCCACTGACTATACTGCAGTCTATACTCTTGCGGGTATACGGGAATTCAGTGCACACCTTAGGGGAACTTGTAGACCTTGTGTACGCCGTTGCCTATAGAAAGATGTAGAACCGTCTTGTGAGGAGCGCCTCCAAACCAGGGTGAGAGCTAATGTGCAGCAAGGAATTGTGTTGCTTCACGTATACGGATCCTCATTTTTTGTTTTTGTTTGAGATACATCATTTCACGGAACACATTTTCTGCCAGTGTTCCAGGGCAGGGAGCATAAGTACGAGGCCATCTGCAAGGAAATTCTTTCATCGCAGCCATCGCGCCCCAAACATTCGGATCTTAAAGGCAAAACCCCCCCCTCCCAGCCTGCCAGCCCACTTTACTTTGAACACGGGTATACATAGGGGCTTAAATACGGATAAGGGACAAGCACATGGAAACTACTAGAAAATAATAGGATTTAATACGGCATATATCGGGGCTTATATAGGGATAATGGAACAGAACATGGAAGCTACTGAAATATTCTATTGGGCAAGCTGTAGGCCTCTCCTGGTCTGTTTCTAGCTCGCTTGCGAGATCGCTGGCTGGCAACAACAGGTACTGGTGAACGGCAAGCTCATCGCGAGAGACGAGAGGCCCAGAATCCAACTTGAGTGGATCTGTTATCCCCTGCTGATCTTGGTTGTCATTTTTGCAAGAGTCCCCGTACTCTACGTAGTCTTCCATCTTTCCCCCATGGCAACCCTTGCATTCCCCACAACTCTTTAGCGCTGCAATGACCCATGCAACCCCCACAACAACCCTGATAATGCCGCAAATAACTCCGTGTTGATAATATTCTTCCGGTACTAGTATACTCACATCTGTTTGCTTTAATCCTGGCCAGCATGACTTGTACATTCTTCATGATCATTGTACTTTCCCTTCGTCGTCATAGGAACTCCCCAAGTCTACACGCGGCCCACAAGCCCGAATACGACTTGTGCGGGCCCCTTTACGTCAGGCGAGAAAGGGTTACGTTCGCACAGCATTCCTCAGAATCCTTAGGCTGAAGGAGAGCAATTTGCCACAGCAAAGAGTGGCAAGTGATTGATGTACTACGAAAAGTCCATGGATGTTAGTGTAGGCAGACAAGACTGCAATGTGACGGGGATTGTAGGGTCATGCTTCAGATTTTTGTGCATCCTGTCGATCTTCTCAGCAGTCAGCTTGAGCCTGTGAAGTTGCATAAACATTTGACGACTATTGAAAGGCCCACCAAGCACAACTAATGTTCCCCGGGTCCCTCAACCCTAAACCCCCTCTGCCCTAACCTAGCAGGTTTTTAAACCCCACCAAATGTCATTTTTAACCCGGATACCCCTCCAGGAGGTGTTCGTTACTCAAGAGTTCTTACAACCCTGAAGCCCACAAAACAAATGAGATCTGCGAAGGGGCTCGAAAGTCCATTGGATCAGGGGTTCCCATTTCGAAAAGTCACTCTACACTCTGAAGCCTAAAGCCTGATGAGGGTGGAGCTTCACCACTTTGATCGCCTGATCTTTGGCAGAGCGTCGATGATGAAGCTGGCCGCTGGGGCAGTCGGGATTTGGTTACAGGTCGAGGTTCAGGATTTAGGCTTGGGAGTTCGTTTTGAAGCATTTCGGCTTTTAAAGGCCCAGGATTGAGCGTGGGTAGCTATTCATTGAGATATAAGTAGGGCACGTGTAATTGCGAATTGGGGCTGTATTTTTGGAAGCCCGCACAAAGCCAGGAACCTCCAAGTAATTAGGGAAGGTTGTGATTTTTGGGATGATTGTTGGAAGCTCCAGGCTCTAAAATCTCACACTGGATTTATGACGGCCTGTTCGTGGGGAGATTTGAATGAAGGCTAGCTTTCGACTACCTTGCATGAATTTGAGAGTGCTGTAGAGATTTAGGGGTTTATAGAACCGGACGAAAGGTTGGGAGAGCTACTCTCCTCCCATGTTGGTTTGAGAGAGCAAAGGTAGTGGGTTGGGATTCAACTATATTACCATTATTATCATGGTCAATATATTTCTTCTCATTGTTGTAGTACTATTACTATTATTACTGTCATTATGCCCCCTGAAGAAGTATGAAGTCCTAAGTGTTGATGAAGCAGGCCTCATTGAAGCTACGTATACATGACGGTATGCATGTTGTTTCCATTGAGGGGGTCCTATTGTTCTGCCCTGAGCTATACACAGCGCGGCGTGACACAACGTTCTCCGAAAAGATTCATACTTTTCATGAGAACAGCCCACAACATGGCCCGTGCCCTGCTTCTTCTTCTCGGCACCAGCTGAGGTTGTTCCACTGGAGCAACAGGACCGTCCGAACATTCCATGTGGGAGTTTATCACAATCATTCCCATAGAATGAAGAAAAAGACCCCAAGATCATGATGCCTGTATAATTCCCACAAATTCTGCGGTCCTCCAGATTTTTGAGGTTTTGCCATGTAGCGCAGACCGCGTCCCTGCGCCACTCCTGGAAGTGCTAAAGGTCCTCTGCTTGAAGACTCGGTGCCAGGCCGAGGGGCCTAGGAGGCCTGGGCATCTCCCAAGTCAAATCAAAGCCCAGAAGCCTCCCACAGTCCCTACACCCTGAGCCCTAGCCCCAAAACTACCAGCCCTAAACCCAGAAACTGCAGGACCTGGCCATCAACAAGTCGGAGCCTGCAGTCCTCTCGGACGATGACGACGATGCCGACAGCGGCCCACCTGCCCCCCGGCTGCTGAAATAGGAGCTGAGGTTGAGGGCTTAGGGTTGTGGAGTGTGCGGTTTGGGGCTTCGGGCTTGGGGCTTGGGGACTAGAGTTGCAGAGATCCTTTCATCATTTCGGATCCGTCCAAACAAGCCATAGATTTCATTCCCGAACCTATACATCCTCGCCCGCCGTTTAGGGGCAACACACTCTGCACCCACACACTAAACATATCAAGCTGTGCAAAGTTCGAAGAAGAAGGTCCGGAACCGCCGGTCGATGCTGAAGCACGACACTTTGAAGCTTCTGCTGCCTGATGACAGTGAGGCATGGAGCCTCAGCCGCAAGATTACCAGGATGTAGGGTGTAAGCATCGAGGGGTGTAGGGTGTCAGGGAACTCTTGGCCACTGGACGTTAAGGTCAAATTTTGTGTGTAGGTTTCAGGGATTTAGGTTTTAGGGATTTATTGCAAGGGGGGTTTGAGTGTTCAGTAGCGATTATTGGGGCCTCAGCCCTCAAAAGAAAGTTGCATGATAGTCATGAGATCTTTTTTCCGGGGCCAGGGATTCCCAACCACTCCTGTGGAATTATGTTTCCCCAAGCTGGGATAATGTCCTTCATGATTAAACGTATCACGAAAGCGTTACCCTATCTAGTACACCCTGATGGCCCCCTTTAAGCAAAGGTGTCTGAGAGCCCCGTTTCAGGCTTGGTTGTATTGTTTTTGGGAGCGTTTTGGTCTAAGCTCCGAGTTGCATAAGCTTAGCCTCAATACTTGAACCTGAAATCGTAAGACTTACTAGCGCTTAGCATGGAATGAGAGACTATGATCGTTTTTTTTTTCTGAACCCTTATATAAAGTATGACCTTATTCCCTAGTAAACCCCAGTAAGTACTTAGGAAAACATTCAACCCTAATCCTGCAAAAGCCATAAGCCACCCGAGCTCGCAACAGCCCGGGCTCCGGGTTGCCTGAGGAGCGAGCTCCGGCTGTACTTCGGTGATCTCCAGGCGGATTCTTTTAGCAGAGTCCTCCATTCGAGTTCCTAATTACTTATTGGGGGTCATAGTAGGGAATAAGGAAATATAGGGCTTGTATAGGGATTATATTCCCTTATTTCCTAGTAAGAACCAGTAAGTACGCAGGGCGAACATTACCACTTTCTAAAGTCTTTCATAGGGGCATGTCGTTTGTAGGACGAGTCCCAGCCATGTGACTCCTCGGTAAGGTCCCACCCTCGCCTAACTTGCGGTGCCTCGTCCATCGATCTTGTTGAACATGAGGAGGGGATCTGTGGTGAATTTTGCCAGGCTGCCCAATCCATCAAAAGGGGCCTAGACTTGAAACTCTTGAACTCTGAGCCCTGCAGCAAAATCAGTGCATACCACGGGCTGCAAATCCTTTGAACAGTGGACCTCCACCAACATGTAACAATCGAAGCCCCAGGAGGCCCACAATATTTTGAGCCAACCCTACGTCCAAGAAAACTATGTGCCTTTCTGCATGAGGTTTCTGAACCAATCCCTCAATTCGTGGGCTTAAGGGCTAAATCCTACAGCCTACTGCAGGCTGAATCCGACTCCTGGAATTCTAGAGTCCAGATATGACCTAAGCCTGACCCGCCCTAGGTTCCACCCAGAAATATCATTTCCAATAATAATGACAATGAAATCATATTTACCACAGAAGCAGTAATAATGGTAGTCACAGTAAGTGCAGTATTATTGTTACTACCAATATACACATATGTAAATTCCATAATCTATATTCTTATTTTTGTTTCTAATATTAATAATCAATACATCGTTATTATTGTTACTATGGTTCCACCCAGAGATACCCAGAAGTTTGAGCAACGATTTTGCTCAGGCGCGCCTGGGTGTCGAGCGTGGAAATGAGTTCTTCTACCACCTCAGCAAGGAACCTGGTCAGCATTATTATTGCTATTGTAAGTATGGCTACCATTCTTACTGCGAGGACTAGAATGGTAGTCTCTCAATATCACTACACCTATTAACGCTTCTACAATCCTTGTTATTATTGCAATTTCGGTTTTTGTTACCTGCAGCACCATGAGTGTTCTCATGTAGCTGGGACAGTTTGCGGATTTCTGGAGTTTGGTTCGGGTGCCTGAACTCGAAGCGGCGTTCTTAAGAGCTACCGAAAGGGGCCTGGGGGGCTGAGGGTGCGTTTTGGTTCTGTAGAGATTTCAGAAGGAGCCCACTGGGCTGTTGTAGGATGTAGGTGGTCTCTTAGCTCTGTGGTGTATGGTTTGTAGAAAGACTAGAGTGACTAGAGTGTCTGAAAAAAGGGTTCATGGAGGGTTCGATACTAGTTTGGGAGAGGTTCGGTCTTTTGCTGCTTCATGTGGCGTGGAGGGCCTCAGGTCCAAGGAGCCACCCAAGCCGGGCTTGTTGGAATACGGCTTTAAGCTTTAGGGCTTATGGGCTTAGCGTTAGGGCTTCAAGCTTGTTCCATGAGAGGATGACATATTGGGGGAAGTTCTGAGAGGCCTCAGGTGTAGGGTTTTGCGGATGGTAGCTCACGAAGTTGAGGGGAGGGTCGACTGGACCCTATTCTAATTCTAGTCGTCACTCCTCATAGAGCCCAGGCCTCAATTAAAAAAGCTATCAGTCAGTCCTCAACACCAGACCAAGAACTTGAATGGCTTGAATATGGCCCCTAATCTCTGAAAGCGTACCATGGAGAGCCCAGGCAGAAGGATTGGGAAAAGGAACGGGCACTTTGCAACAGCCGTCCCGATTGCCCATTGGGCTAGTGTATGGTTGGGGTGTTCGAGTACCAGGCTTCTAGTTTGAGGATTCGAGTGAGGCAGACTTCGACGCCTCAAAACCGCAAACCCTGAAACCGTTTTTCTTCTGGCGTTTGGAGGCCTCGCACCTTGTGGACGAGGCTAATGAGATCACGTCCGAGATTCGACCAGAGGAGCGGCCGGCTTATGGTACAAATGCAGCTATGCTGTGCATGTGTCAGTATGTGTTCATACACAGCAGGCCCATACTTGAAGACTGGCCATACATTGCCAAGGCTTAATGTCAAATGGGCTAGGTGTACAACAAGCCCCAAGCGCTTAGCGGTGAAGTCCTCAGGGGATTCTTCCTGACAGTATGAGATGTTGCCTTTGCAGCTGCTCGAGGAGGTTGCATGCGAGTTGTCTCCGCATGAAGCGCGTGCAGGATCGCCTCAAGTTCGAAGTAGAGCTCGTCTGGGACATTCACCGCCATGCGCTCGCCTGAGCACGACAGGCTTAGGCTGGCCCAGTACGGAGAAAACTTTGTTTTTGCATGAAGTCATGGGGAGTTTGGAGTGGCAAAGACTGGATTCAGGAGTCATGCGCCTGCATCTCACAAGGACGCAGTCAGGTGTGAGGTCAGGACCCTCCGTGCTTAAGTGTTTTTGACCGGGCGGGAGCAGCTTGTCAGGCGTTCTGAAATCTATCCCGAGCAGCCGAACAGGACACGAGCCCGAAGGATTCATCTTTTTAGGGGTCACGATGGCATCACTTCGATGAAGTCCAGTTTGACATGTAATGTCCCCTGCCCATTCCAGGCGACAGATAAGAGCCTCAGATTACACAAGGGCCTTACCCGTCACAGGAAGTGAAGTGAGGCCCCCTTTGAACTGCTGGAGCCTTTATGGGTGCTTCTGGAAAGCTTGAGCGCCTGGACCCTGCTATGGCGAAGCCATGTTCCTGCCTTGCAGTATACATCATCCTTCTTGCTTCAGGAGTTGCCATTGTTCTATCCTTCTGCTGCATTGTTTCTGATTCATTCCGGCGCCTTGCAAGGTCTCCGACATCATCCTCATTCGCGCACTGCGACTGGCGCCGAGCAATGAGGAGCCCACGGTGCTGTCCTACTGGACGTACCTGGGACTTTGGAGTTTGTAGCCTGGTGGGTTCCGGAGTTCGGGGATAGTCAGAACTGGAGGTTCTGCTAGGTAAGACCTGCTTCAAGCGAGATGCCGAAAGGGAAGCTGGAAGGACGCACCTTCTGGGCATGATCAACATTTTTCGAAGATCAGTCAGGCATGCCCATGACACCGCATCTTTGAAATATGGCTTGGGTTGACTCTCCAAGAATGTCAGGCATGAAATTTTGCGGAAGCCCAGAAGAAGTCCTCCTTCCGCAAAGCCCCCCATTGTTTGGCGGAACTCCCCCATGTGCAGTGTGCCAGTACTGCGGTACCCCAACAGTGGCGAATCATTAAGCAACACTAGACTTATCTGTTGCTGCTCACCGGAGAGTGGGAGACCCATAATCGTCCCCATATTATCTCCTCATGAAGATGGAACCTACTTGATTTTCTTGTCCCGCGCTTCCCCAACAGTCAGTCAGATTATGTTCAAGTGCTGGCCTCTCGAATTGCATTCAAGAGGCTCTGGCAGGCGGCGAAAAATGTCAACGAGGAAAAGTTTCCATAAACTCTGAACCCAAAACAGTTATTCAATTCCCATGTGCTTTTCGAGTAGTATTTCTGACTTCTTATTGTTATTCCTATAGCTCTCTGTAACCACTATGCGAGAACGCTGTTCTGACAATCATTCCCCCGATTCCTGATAAGAAATGTTCCCCTAACTATGACCGCGGTATACAAGGGGCAATATCCTTCATCAGAAAGGGTTTGGGGATTGTAGTCGGAGGGCAGCATCATATGAAAGTGAGTGGAGCAGAACATCGTGGATGATAAGCAACCAAAATTCGGAGTCACTGGAGGCCTCGTAAACCCACTCCCCGAACCCCCCTTCCCCACGCCATGCGCTGAGCACTTGAACTCCCTGACAGCCCCCAGCCCCCGAAACACCCAACCATACCACGCCCAACATATTGAGGGTATCGAGCTTCCGACAGCGCCTCGAGGTAATGCGGGACTGCCTCTTGGCTGGAACGTATCCTAGCCAGTGTGAGAATTTAGGGTTCAGGGTTTGGGTCGCAGTTCAGGATTTTCGGTTTTGTGGTTTGGGGATTACTTTTTAGAGCGTTTAGGAATTAGGGCTTGGGGTTTGTGGTGTTCAGACAGGTGTAAGCACCCTGCAATTAGGACCCCGCAAGGATTGCCTTCAAGCAAAGGCCCCAAGAAGTTCATTCTTCAATCCAAAAGCTGCTTTGTGGATGACATGTTTGGCTATGTAGGCCTAGAACATATGTCTTCAGAAGACTTTTCCAAGTTGCTTGGGGAAATGAGCCGGAACCGCAAGTTCCGGCTGGGCAACGCCTGAAGCCCTCCCTTTCTGCATGACAGTAGCCGAGGAGGGGCTCTTTTCAGGTTCCATGTTCTGACGGAGTCATAACTATCCGTTGAACCCATGAACGCTCTCGGTCCACAAAGGCTGGGGCTGTCAGGTTCAAGGCCTGCTCGGCACAATCAGCGCATGAGCAGAACTGCTCAATCTACCAGCCGCAGTCACAGGAAGTTTGAGTGTCGAATGTGAGGAGGCGCCAGATATTGCCCATCACCACCAACTCTTTCCAGCATTTTCCCAAATTTTTGATTCGACGGCTTCCGCGAATGTGACCAGGAAATTTCATCTCCAAGACCAGGTGCCGGACATTGCCAAATATCACCACCAACTGTTTGCGGGTGGCAGGCCATGAAGAAGGGAGTCAGTCATGAGACATTGTCAAATATCACCTCCAGTTCTTTCCATGGGGCGGGCCCCCCGGAGGGACTTATGAGGCTTTTTCGAATGCCTCCGTGAATGTCAGCAGGTGCCGGACATTGCCAATTAGATGCATTTTTCTTCAAGTGTTTTTGACGGCTTCTGTGAATGTCACCAGACATTACCAAAAATCACCACCAGCTCTCTCCGGTGGCAGGCCCCCCCCAGGAGGGAATAATTGTCTTGTTCTCCAAGCTGCTTTTGTCCTTTTCGCGAATGTGACTAGATGCCAGACATTGCCAAATCTCTTTCCAGTGGGTGGGCCATCCAAGAAGGAATTGTGGGCCTTTTCCCAAGTTGCTTTGGATCGATTCCGCGAATGTGACCAGGTCCCAGACATTGCCAAAAAACCAACACCAACATTTTGAAAGGGTCATTTTTGTCCACCAGACAATGCCGAATTTCACGACTGTTATGGTTTTTGCCGCCTTCTGCGAAAGCGACCAGGTGCCAGACACTACTGAATATCACCACCAGCTTTTGCCAGAAACGGGCTCCCTGGAAGGAAACTTTGTGCATCTTTACTTTTCCCAAGTGTTTTTTGTTTGCCGATTCCGCAAATGTGAGAGTCAACCCCTCCTGCACAGAATTATGTGCAACAGGGTGTCTCCGCAAGTTTTTGTTGACCGCTTCCGCGAATGTGACAAGGTGCTAGACATTGCCACATATCACCACCAACTTCGTCAAGAGGCGGCCCCCCAGTAGGGAATTATGGTCATTTTCCCCAAGCTGATGTTGTCCGTTTCCGCGAACATGGATGCCACGCTTTCTAGTTGCTCCTCGCTCACTTGCTGCAATCAACGTTAAGCCAGTTCGCGACAGTCAAGGCTACGATGCCTTCTGCTGCTCGGGGCTTTGGTCCGGAAAAGGCGACCCTCTGGAGGCGCGTTCATAAGAGTGAGTAGGGCCAAATACTACAAACAGCATCCTGCGCTCAGTCCGTTGCCAGCCCGCCTCCAACGGGTTTGCATTTGAACCCTACTGCCCTACGGCATCCTCCTGAAAATGCCTGTGAATCTCTCAAAAAGAGGTAACTTCCTCAAAAAGAGGTTCCTTGCCCGTTCCGCCACATCCAGGGTTTTGAAGGGACACTCTCCATAGGATGGCCGCGCAGTTCCAGGCTTTTCTCGCATGGGCAGGGTGTTCAGAACCCCTTGACGCGGGCCTGAAACAGGCCGCTGGTGCTATGGGCTTCAGGGGCTGTCTGCTAAGCCCTATACTCAGAATCCTGGGCTTCTTTTTCTCCAAGGCATCGAAATCCCATCGATCCTCATGGTTTGCGGTCAGGATCCCTGGATCGACGCCTCGACTGTGGAGCTGACGCTGCAGCAGCTGGTCTTTGTTAGTTCGGCATCTACTTGAAAATCTGTGTTGTGCAACCATGAACCAGGAGCCATGAACGCTCCATGTGTTCCAGCGGGTCCAAGGGGAGTGTAGCTTAGGAGTCTTGAAGTTGGAGCCGATGGAATGTTAAAGCCAAGTGCGCCTGCAGCCCTACACATCCCTGCATCTCAAAGCCCACACTCCTGAGATCTTCACTCCTCTTTCGCTGCCGCAGGCTCCACACAAATGCAGAGGAGCAGCTCCATCTCGAGGCCTGTCGGGAGGGAGGGGTTCGGGTTCTAGGGAAGAGTTTTTGGTGAACAGGTTTAGGGTTTTTGTTTTTAGGAGGTTTAGGGCTTAGAGAGTTTCTGTGTAAGGGGTTTAGGGATTCAGGGGTGAATGGTGTACAAGGCTTTAGAGTTGATAGGTGTTCAGGTCTTTGGGTTTCAGGCGTGTGGGGTTTAGGGTTCTCAGAGCCTACGTCTACGAGTTTCGCAAAACTTCTGGGTATTTGCTGGCAGCAGATCTAAAGGTTGTGGAGTTTTAGAACCAGGCAGCCACATATAGAAGAGAAACTATGATTAGGTTTTTGGATGCTGCCCCAAAAATACAGCAGAGTAGGTCCTTTCTAGGAGTTCAGAAGGCTTGTGAACTACTGCAGCCGGAGATTTGGAATTCAGGCTTCCTCAAAGCTGTGGGTTGATTACCGGGGTTCCTATAACAAATGTCCAATCATTTTGTGACGTCTGCAATTGGACCTTGATTTTGATGAATTGCTCATGTCCTGAGGACTTCTGGGAAGGTGTGCAGTAATTTCTGGGCTGCAGACGTGGATGCGTAGGGGCCTTCGCTGCTGCACTACTAAGCTAGCATTCTGGGCTAGATCTTTCCTTCACCCTATGTTGCTAGTACATCTGGGCACGCCGCATTGCTGCAACTGGAGAAGTTCTTGTCTGTGCCACGCGACTGATGCACGCACATGTTTTCTTGAATCGTCGAGCTCCTCAGTCCAAAGTCGCGCCGTGCTCGAACCTTGGGCTTGCTAGGGGAATTTGCAACGCGTCTCCAAGACATGTCAAGAGACAGGGTCTTCGCAGGATACCAGGCTTGCACAAACATAATTTTCTGAAGAGTATAGTTTCCTCCCTGAGGCAATCCTTCCTTTGCTTGAGAGTTGCCCAAAGCGGGCTGTGCAAACGTCACATCTGTAGCGAAAAGCACACGCCTTAAAGCGAGCCAGCACACACTGCAATGCCGCTATACCACCAACGCTCTAAAGCCGCAGAAGCCCTTACTCAGTCGTATACATTGCTTTACATTCCCGTAGATCTTTGTTTTGGACTATGCATTATTCCTACACGCGCGCATTGCCGATCGCTTGTGAAATTCCATGTACTGTAACAACACTACGGATCTACTCTAAGGATCTACTCTAAGGATCTCCAGGAAAGAACTAGGTCATAACCTGAGTGTTTCCATAGATAGATAGACCGTAGGAACATACCGGGTCCTTGAAAAGATTGACGTTATTCTTTGGGTCACCATTAGTGCTTCGTGTTTGGAGGTTCTTGTCGCACAACCACCCCTCCTAAACCTGTCCAATCCAGGACCTTCGCCGAAGCCTTCTTGATGCCAAGTTAGAGACGCAGACAAATCCCGGGACAGGCGGAGTGTGCTCCTGCTTGGATGCTTCGCAAGACCGGGCTAATGTACCCGGGTTCAGGGTATCCATCCAATGCACCCCTCAAGAAGTGAGTTGTAATTCCTGCACTTACTCAAGGTTTGCAGGGGTAGCCTATGTTCTGATAAATCCCCACACCGGTGTGTAGCTGTTGGTAGCCTTTTCCTGCAGCTTGTTCCTTCCTTATCGTTTGTGAACGCTAGGGGCTAGGGGTCTGGAGGTTTGGTGTTTCAGACTTGTCGAGGTTTCAGTCTTCCTAGTTCTGGAGCTGTACTGGCGAAGGCAAAAGTCAGGCCTGTCCAGGGCTTGTCCCGTGTTTTCCCTGAGGCTGTTTGGCAGGAGCCCTACATGGAAAGCCCCAAGCCAAGATTGGGGTGGGAGTTGAGAGTCTTTTGGGAGCAGTGCACTTTAGCTAAACCCCAAAACCCATGCCTCTGAGTTTTGGCAAGTTTAGACGGCAGACCCTCACATAACATAAATCAAACAGTGGTGGAGAACGTTGGGGCACTGTTGGCCTCTCTTGCTTCAGTACTGATTCCACATCACCTTCTAGCCTCACACGGGCAGCCAAAGCCATGAACCCAGGGACTCCCAGGGTTGACTATACTGCCCTGATATTTGAGGGATCCCAGGGAACCCTGTCGTACACCTTAAGCGCCTAAACACGAACGACAAGGATGAAGTTTAAAGAAAGGCTTCAATGGACCGCGGACTCTGAAGCCTTTTGCCATGCTAGGCCCATCAGCAACTCCGACCATTTCACGGAGGAGCAGCGGCAGACTGGGCACAGGTGGCCTCACGTTGTTGGGGCGGGGAATTCTTTAGTATGGACCAGATGATGGAGCTTGGGCTGCGAGATTTAAAATTAAGATTTAAGGTGTTGAGTTGTTGTTTCTAGGCTTCAAACTGTAAGCTTGCGACTTGGGATGGCAGATCGGCAGGCATGGCTTCGGTTCCCAAATTTGGACACCCCGAAGTGAGTACGGCGCCCAAAATGACAAATCCTGTATGGCGAATCCTGCAGCTTACTCCATCATGTTGAGTCTTCACGTGTCATACCTGAATCCTAACACCCCGATCCCTGAGCCCTGGAGTTGCAGCATTGAATGAGCAAGCCCATCAGGTGCGCTAAGTACGCCAAGCGTGTCCCGCCAGAGTAGCACCTCGGGCTTTCAAGCACTGCGTGCTTGTCTGTGCACGTAGGGTTGGCCTGCTTAGGTTGTGGATTTGAGATTGGTAGGGTTGAGGTTGAGTGTTTTATGGCTTGTTTCCGACCTCAGCTTGAGTTTCATTTTAACTTTTCAGGATTTGCTGCTCTTCTCGTCTTTGTGCTTTGTGCTGTTGAGGCTTCTGTAGACGGTTTTCTTTCCAAAGCTGATGCAGCGCCACAAGTCATGCTTTAAATGCTCCTCGGAGTTGCGGCGAACACGGCAACCGACACACCCATGGGACATCTAGTCTACTCCACGCCTGGCGCGACCGCATGAATGTAAGCACCAGTTCCAATGAGAAGGATCTGCGAGCTGCACCTTATACAAGTAACGCGCTTTCAAGGCCCCTGGAAAGATGTCAGAGCTCTTTTTCATTCTTTCCCTTCCACCCTTGAGCATCAAGGCAAGCGGCAGGCTTCGATCCAATCCGTCAGCTCAGGCAGAGGTTTTTCTCATTGGGCTTTGGGGCTATGTCTACGTGGAGGTCTCTCAAGACAGAAGTACCCTAGGAACATAGGGATCATGTCTAGGGATTCTTGAGTGCTATTGGGATCATGTGAGTGTTATTCTGAGAAAAATCTGCATGTACGCGAGACACAGGGTATGGCATTCCAAAAGTCAACGTTTCCCAAAATCCAGTACGAACAGCAGTTGTAAGTATCATTCTTGTAACACCAACAATCTGTAACAAATCAATTGTCATAACTTTTGCTGCTATGACTGTTGTCTATTACTATCAAGCTACTGGCTTTTGATAGGTTTTAAGATGAGGTGGATGCTTGCGGCACTTGGTAGCTTCCGGACATGACACGGTCACATACGAGGATGTCTTAAGACCGTACTTCTTGGTTCAGCGGATTGATGGGCTCTTCTCCACACAGGCTCTATACCTACATAGTACATGCATGATACATAGCTTGCTTAGTTTCGAACGTAGCTGCAAGTGAATCCCCTTGTAGATTTCAGTGTATGTCTTCGACATACTTGGGGTGTTTCGGGCGACTTGGGGCGCATGATGCCATCATTTCAAAAGGAATCCACTCGCTTGTTCTGCACTTGCCAGGCTCAGGGGCAACATGACACGCTAGGTGCATACTGTCACTGGACGTGTGTGTGTCCCCTACCAGACTCTTGCAGCAGAGCTGATTCTGTCGCACATCCTGAAAGCCGAACACCCAATCCAGCCGGGATGTGCAACGTAATGATAAACAGCGAGCCAGGAGCCTGAACAGAGAGAGGAAGCGTGAAGGTGTGTTAAGAGGTACTTGGGTAGAGCAATACTATACAGGGGGACTTCCCAATGCTGACTACATTGCTACATGGCGGATCTCCATATGCACCGAGACAGTGTAGAACATCTGCACGCAAGCAGGACGAACCTCTCAAAAAGGTTCACGGCTGGCGCAAGGCTGGTCAGGGTTGGGTTGGTGGTCAATCAGTTGCACGGGGCAGCAGGAGTTATTGAGGTTTTTGGTGCACAGGGCTCTTGAGGACTGACTACAGCCCTAGTTCCCAACAGCTCCGGTATTTCATGAGTTTACCACCATAAAGGACTGTAGGACACGGTGTGCACAAGAGGTTTTCCCAAAAGCGTTGATAAAAGCGTTGATAAAGTTTTGCATAGCCGTCTTGATTCTCCTGTAGAAGCATTCCCTTGCTGTCTGGGCAGTGTTTGGACATTTCTCAACACGGGGGGCTCCCAACACCATGAAGTCCTCCTTACTGCGCAAAAAAGAGTCATAATAGCAAACCATCTGAATGAGTCTGAACAGCCAGTCATGCTCACCCCGCCCAGAGTTGCTCAGGCCGCATTAGCAGGACTATTCTGATACCCTGTGAACTGAAGTTCAGCTCCTATACCGCCTTTAAGTCTACCATCCTGGAAAGGCCTCACCCAATCACTTCTCAGGCCTAGTCAACAACATATCATAATCCTAAAGTGGAGCTGGCAGGTGGCAGTGCGCTTGGCAAACTAGGCGCATTTGTTGTGGGCCGGCTTCGGGGGTGGGGGTGTCAAGGAGAGGGATTTCCTAAAACAAGGTTAGGCGTGGCTTGCTCAGGGATTATACATGGCTCACATGGGGTGACGGGCTACCTTGGGCTTTGAGATTCGTCTTCAGATGCAGTCGGGATTTTGTTTGTCACAGACGCAGAACCAAAATGCGTTTTTGTGTAGTTTCATTGTCGTCGTGGCAAGCCCGTGCGTTAGAAAGAAGACGCCGCATTCTGGTGAAATACCAGTAGCCGCATCCAGGCTGCTGGAGCCAAACTCCCAAAGCTTGTAGAGGCATTGCGATTTTCTGTGCTGCTGGTACAAGGATATGCAGTGAGGCAGAAGTAATCCTACACACCTGCTTCCTCAAACTGCGTGTAGGCCTCGAGATTCCCCTAGCCTTGAATTGGTTTTCCCTTTCACGCTCTGTCAACCTAGGAAGGGAAAACTAGAGTGACCATCAGGGGCCATCGTCCTTTATGGCTGCTGTTACGAATTACACCATCGTTTTGCAATGCACCTGCCTAGCTTTCAAACCCTGAATGGCTCCCCCGTGCCCTTTCCCGTGCTTCCAGATATACCTTGATGCAGGAAAATTTAGCACTGCTTGCAGAAACCCAGGAGGAGTTACATCACCCCATCAGGTTCCCCAAGCCCCGCAATCCCTAAGCTTTACATCCTGCCCAGAAGACCTCAATCATGCATACATGACCGCTGCTATCCCAAAGCGGAATCTGCTCAAATTCGAGGCCCACAAACATCAGAATCATGATTTCACTCTCAAACCTTTTCCAACAGTGGCAGGGGATGAGCCGGACCCCCCGTTGAGCGCGAGGGGCAAGCGTCCGCAAGGCACGGTAAGCAGGATAGTTCATCCACGTTTCATGGCATTGGACTTTAGAAAGGTTAAAGCCTGTGGAGGATTCGGGGTTCAGGTTTCCGGCTTTGCCGGGGGGAAATAGAATTTTTGAAGGCTCTCCCGTCGTTAATAGAAATTCGCTGAAGGCATGGGGCTTGTGGGAAGCAGAGGAATTAAGCGGGCAATGAAACTGATGATGTACCTGTAGCGGTTGCAGACACAATCAAACTTGATTACCAAAGTACTCCCTGCTAGAAGTAACAGCGATGATTAGACGTCCCTGGCGACTTTTCACGCGGAAGGTGTTGGTCTTGAAACAGGAACTAGGCAACCAGAGCTGAGGAGAGGTCGAGTCTCGGTTATTACAGAGCTCATACTACAGGTTTCTCGGGTGCAAGGCTCCATGGCTGAATTAGGTTCGGGTTGAAGGTTGAGGTTCTGTGTTCCAAGCCATCAAGCGCGGGCGTGCCATGCCCCTTTGCTTCGGGGCCCCACTCCACTACGCTAAACCTTACCTCCCCTGCCAAATGCGGCCGCCTTCATTTTGTGGCTGCTTTTCCAGTGGGTCCAGGGTCTCTTTGAGCTTTCTTCGTATACTACACGGACACAATGTTCACCCTCCCCCATGTTTCAATGTGCTGATCGGGGAAGGGAACCGGTCTTTTCAGAGAAAGCGGAACATTCTGAATGGCGGCTGGGTAGTAATTTGTGCTGTGAGATCAAAGCTGTCAGAGTTTGAAGTCTGGCATCAAAGTGACAAGGCGCTTCAGGTCGCATGGTAAACTGTGGTGTTCAGGGGGTGTTCAAGCCAGCGTATTGCATTACTTGAGGCCTGCAAGACAACAGGCTTGAGTGCAAAGCCGATACCCCTCAAGGTTCCCTAAAATGCAAGCTGAGTCGCTCCAGGCTATTAAACCAGAATGCCCAATACCTGGTATTTGAGCAAGTCTACCTTTTTACATGATACTAGGATCTCAAGTATGTGGCCAGAGGAATATGTTGAACTTCAGGGGCGTTGGGCTCCCTGAGACATGGGTATTCCCAGGACCCGCCCAGTACTGTTATCCTCATGTTGGGGGCTCCCCAAACAGGACATCTAGATTGTTTAGAAGCCCACAGAACGCAGACAAATTTTGGCTTGCTTCGTTCCCTCCGCGGACTGGCTCTAGGGCTCAGATGGCCACGGCTCCTGAAAGGTCAAGGGATCCAAGGTTGGGAATTGAGGGCTCCGCCCCTACCTGGGAAGCCGAGTCACCCGACATGATGGGTTGCTATGATCCTAATGTTGGGTAGGAGTTACACAACACTATGGAAGTATAGTCTACTGACTTTCCAGGGATTTACTAACCCCACCTGACCCTAGCTTGAGCCCTTTCATTTTGGTGTATGCTTTAGCGCATATACGGTGCGCAGAAGTCCTAGCTCTTGAGGTTGAGGGTATTCATGGTGGGACAGCACTCATCTCTGAGATAGCTTGTGGCAGCTACACTTAAAGATCAGGGGCTTCATCAGCCATTACGTCTTCCAAGCATGATGGACTCCTTGAGCTGAGGTCCTCCCAAAGTGGGGGTGCCCTCCGATTTCACCTGCCGTGAGGTAGGTTGCCAGTGGCTTCCCAAACAGCTCAGCACGAAACATGCCAAGTGCCGAGATGTTGTGCGTGTGGTCGTTGTCTGGGCAGGAAATTCTGGCCATACCTTTTGCAGATCTGCCAGACCTTCTGAAGGGAGCCAGCCCTACAGTGTGCTCCTTGAAGAGACACCTTAATTTGCGTTGCCGGTGTGGAGTTTCACGTTTCCAGCTACGGCTTACAGCAACCGACGGAACTCTGTTGGGTGATGAGGAGGAGCTGACATCCCCTATGGATCTTCAGCTTGTTGTGCAGGACTTCATCAAGCCCAACAGAAAGCAAGCAGCCTGCTTCGTGTTCATAGGGAAGGAAGGAATGGACTCCAGCAATTGCCCCTAGGAGACCACATGTAATGCATGCTACTTTAACAACTCGGTAAGAAATGCCAGTGGTATCCCTATCAAAGTGCACAGCCAGAACCGCAGTGGGTGCAGGATGGTCTTTGAGGATTTCTGACTTTAGTCTTTATCTTCCGACAGTACTTTGTTTGAGAAGCTTGACTTTGTTTGGGCAGGGGACCTCAACCAGGTAAAGGAGCTTAAGGCGGCGGTTGCTGGTGGCCTGGCGTCAGAGGTGGAAGCCATACTTCAGAGGCCCCAGGATCCGACCATCCAGGTGAAGAGGCCCAATGGTCCAAATTACTGCGGTCCCTTGACAGAGCCTCATAAAGGTTATATAGGAGGTATATATAACTACTGCTGGGTTATATAGGGATATGGAGGCTTTGCAGCAGTCAAGTGGAAAACAACATGGAAGCCGGTGTGTAATTTTGCGTAATATGCGTCCAAAACCTATTCCAGCCAAACAGGCCCCTGCTTTACAGCGGTCTCACTTGACCTCAACCCAACCTGTGTTTACACGAATGATGACCCCCAACAGAACTTTTTTCAAATCAGTGAATTATAGTCCCCCTTAAGTAGATAGAATATGGGGTATATGGGGATCTTGTCACCCTGTCCTAATATACCCAAAGCCATAATCTATCTACTTAAGGGGGACTATAGTCGCATGTGGCCAGAAGAGGCCTACACCCCTGGAGTACGCGAGCTATGAAGGGAGAGCAGATCTCGTCAGTTTGCTTTTGGAAGCAGCTCCTGGGTCGCTGTTAGACACAGCTTGTTATTATTCTTAGTCGAGCTACCACTATTTTTATTCTTCTTGTTATTTTTTCCTGTAGCGTTATTATTCCTACTATTAAATTTCTCTTATTCAACTGCTGGAGCTGCAAAGTATACAGATTGTGAATGCTCATGCGGCCTTGAGAAAATGTTGTGTAGAGTGTTCGATACTTGAATGAGGGTAGAGTCGCTATGATGGGCCACCCGAACCCTAAACGTGTCCAGGTTCCGGCGGAGAAGAGGAGCTGGTGGATTGACTCTCCAGGCCACGCATGCCTGGTCAGCGCGGCCAATGGCCATGGGCAACCCGTTGCAGATTTGCAAGATTTAGCGTTTGGCACGAAGTTTTCATCTTCGAATGCCTGAAGCGCCACATACAATTTGGTTAGTTTTATGTTGTGATGATATTAACTATGAAGCTCCAAGTCTACGCTCCAGGGTAGCCCTAATCCGCTAGATCTGGGAACCATCAGGAATGGAGACCAGCAGGAAGTCCTGCGTCTCCTCCTCCAGGCCAAGGCGAACGTGAACAGGGGCTGCAGGTCCTCGGATTTTTTGGAATTGACGATCTAGGGATGGACATGTAATAGGGTTTGTGTGGGTACTGTGGGGTCTATGGGTCAGTTAGTTTCTGTGAGGTTTACGGATGCTGCAGGTCCTGGGGCTTGGACCCTTGTATTTGATGGAGCCTTTTAGAAGGCACATCCGACACCCTGCATCCTTAGCAGGTCTGTCCCGATGGGCTGCGAGATGGGCAGGGCCTATGAGCATGCCACGCCTTTGGGCTGGGCGATTTGGGAGCTCAATGTGGGAGCCGTGGAGATCTTCCTAGAGGCCTTGAAGCTGTCATCAACCCTAAGCCCCAAAACACCCTAAGTCCCCAACCCTTAAACCCTTTAGGCCAAGGCCGACATCAACCAACGGTGCTGGCAACTTGGGCCTACCCCTCTGGCTGCAGCAGCCAAGCTAGGGGACGTTCGTTTGGAGCAGTTGCTGCTACAGGCTGACGCCCGCAACGACGAGGTGTCCTCGTAACTTAGGATTTTGTGGCTGCTGGGCTTTACAGAAAAGCTGTAAAGTGCTGAGCCCCCTAGTTGTAAGCTGGGTCATAAGAAGCATAGCTCCAGCTCAGTGCACCCTAAATGCAGAACTAGCTTTTCACCTGTTTCTATGGTTTTTTTTTCTCGGTTACGAGTGGGGGGTGAATCGCAGTGCTGTTAGCCGCCGCTGCATGAACAGGCCCTGGCTGAAACGAAGCCGACCTGCGGGTTCAAAAGCAGGTTCAAGTTTCATTTTGATTTTTCGGTTTTAGGGGTTAGTTGTGTTTTTTCGGGTTTTTGGGCTTAAGTCCTGGAAATAAACTTGAAGATGGGCAAAGTTACAGCCCGTCTTGGGTAAGCTGAAGTTTTTCAGCCATGTTATAAAGTTGGCTAAGCAGAGACCATGTTTTCAACAGCCCATTGCATCGCCATTTTAATTTCGGACAGTTTCTGTCTTCTGTGAAGCAACGGAGCAAATAATAGTTCTAGAGGATGGTCGCAAAAACTCTAAACTCTAAATGCGTCTGTGCTTTGAGAACTCGCGAGTGGGGGCTTGCATGTTGCTTGCGGTTCACGTGGCTGCCAGCCATCTTCGATGCGCATTCTGCGGAAGATTTCCGGGTGCTTGGGCGGGAGCGAGGGAATGAATTAGAAGCATGATGACATTGGATGTTTATGGAACTAGTATAGGGTGCTATCAGGTCATTCTGAACTTGTAAGAATTTTTAGGGATCGTATGCTTACTACATAGGATCATTCCTCCTTTCCTACTGGGCACCACGGAGAAGAAGCCAAAGAGCCGCTTGCGCGTAAAACGTTCCCCAGGCTTCTTGCTTAAGTCGAGGTTCGAGCCGTGGGCCCTTTGTATGGGCCTCTAGTCTTTTTTGGGGGAATCCTGGGGAGGACAGAAGGCATGCATGATAGATTCGAATCGGCATTTCAAGGCGCTAAAGTCATGATCGATGTCTTAAGGGGGTCGTCTTCTTACCTTTGCATTCCGGGGGCCCCGTTGGGTTTAGCGCTCAGGTCTGTCAGAATGTGTATGCACTGAGAAAGAGTGTGGTAGACGAGTTTAGAAAAGTGAGCTTAGCCAGCTGTGGGTCCAGAAGTTGAGAACGGCACTCGAATTAGAGTGCTACTGACGACGGAGCCCAGTTCAAGAAGAGCTTCGTTTGGTTGAGTCGGATCGGATAGGAAGGTGGCCTAGCTGAGTGCTCGGTGACGTTGGACCTGTTTCCTTTGCAAGCTGCATCCGATGGAAGCATGTACCCAAAGTCTCCCTGCACAAAGCTTGGCATAAAGGATCAGGACTCCTTGAAGGTCTACCTGCTCCAGAAATTCAAGGATCCTTCTGGCAGTCCCCATACTGTCTCCAATAAGAGAATCTCTCCAAAAATCGGTTTTTTTCAGTCGCAGCATTTGATCTCTGCTTACAAGGAAACTTTGCACGCGTATCCAGGAGCCGGGATGCCTGTTTGTGGAGGGGATCCCTTTCGAAATGCCCTATTCGCATCAACTATTAGCCAGAGATTCGGGGTATAACCTTAATACTGCTTGTACAGACGTTCTGTGCTATTCACGCCACAGCACGGGAGAACCAATCAGAAGCAAACATGCCTACCAGAATGCTTACACTCGAGACCCACCTAAAAATCGGGGATGCGAATGCTAGATGCACCTCCGCCCCTTCATAATGGTGATCCTACAGAAGCCCTGAGCCCTTGATTCCGACCCCTTGAATGCTAAAGCCTGAGACCTGGCAGGCGCTGCTGAGGAGGGGAAGCAAGTCAGCTCCCGAACCTCCAGCAAACACTCCACCGACGGAGGCTTGCACCTCAAGTCAAAGCAGTTCTGTGGACAGTGGGGACTAAAGCTAGAACTTGAGCTAATGATCATAGTGATAGTTCAAAATTGTTATTTATAATGATTACACATGAACTGAAAATTGCTCTACGACGACTCTGACGGGCTTGCATAGGGATAAGCTCGGGATTCAGCTTGGATTTGGCGTTTGGGGGGCATACTCCCAGCCGCAAATTGCCGCTAGCGTTTTGGAGATTGTTACGGCTTGGTTCGTTGTATTCTCTTAAGTCCGTGAGCAAGGCCTGCGTTCAAAGACCTCCCATCAACTCGACAGACTATATTGGGGTTATATTGGGGATGATGGAAAATAAAATGGAAACTACTATAATGGGGTACATTAGGGTTATATTGGGGATAATGGAAAATAAAATGGAAACAAAAGTTTATGGCGGTGTTGGACAAACCTTGTTCGAAGTAGTCAAACCCCTACGCTCCCTCAACATGGTCCGACAAGCAGCCGTTCTGCATCCCATAAAAACCCTACGACGGTTGTATCCGAAATCCATAAAACCCCTGTACAGCCTTTTGGTTCTCTAAACCGCTCAACCCCCAAAACCCCCTAGCCCTGAACCACTTCCCCGTAAAGCCCCTGAATCCTAAGCCCTGAAGCCTTTGAGCTGTTTTTTTCCCTAAAGTCCCTACCCTAAACCCTGGGGATTATACAGGGGTTTTAATGGGATAATGGAAAAGAAAATGAAAACTACTATTTAGGGTTTAGGGTTTAGGATCCCATGAACACCTCCCTGGTGGACAAGGTCCTAGGCTTACGGTGCCTCCGCGGCCGCTGCTGGGATGGTCAGATTGATTGTCATTTTAGCTTTTAGGGTGTGGGGTTCGATTAAGAATGAGGGCTTAGCGTGACATATGGGATTCAGGGTTTAGGATTCAGGATTCGAGTTACAGGATTGCTCCAAACCGAATGTTCTTGTGGGGGAAGACAGTTTTTTTTTCAATGTGGGGGCCGGGGACGCCAGGGATGATATATGGGAGTGATACAGGATCATCGGGTCCAACTGGAGGACTATAACATGGGCATCAGCTATGATGGACTACTCGCTTGAAGAATGATTTCTGCTGTACATTGAACATCTTGGGTTCATGTTGAGAGATACTAGAGGCCACGCAAGGCCATGGTGCTTGCCAGACGGTCGTGCTTTGCAGCGTGTGCTCGTTGCCGCTTGTTACGGGGTGGTTGCTGACCTTCAAGCCAGCTGTGCCTTTGTGCATGCTCTGGCTTCCGCGTGTGTTGCTTTTGGCGGGCCCTGTCTCGTCTTCGGTGATTGGAATGCCACGCATGATGTAGCAGCACGAGGCTCAGGGGAGTGTCAGGAGTCTGAAGCTGCTCTTCGCAAATGGTGTGTGCGCACCAAGAAGCGCCCTTTGAGTGCCCAAGCAGCCTGGATCAAGCGAAGGGCTGACAAAGCTGCCGACTGCTCGGCTCGGGCCCCTCTAATTCACAGGATCCGAACCGTTATTAACTTAGTCTTGGCCCTTTGAAAAGTAGTTTTGGGGGCAGATTTCAGAATTTAATTCTGGGCAACCTGTATTTATAGTAGGGGCGTTTACTATTTTGGGGATGTGATTGCTGAACGAAAGCCCTGAACCCCCCAAAACCCAACACTTTTTGGCTTTCCAGGATGATCGGATGCGGGCAGAATGAGGGCTGGAAGTGACGCCATAAAGGGCAATCTGCAGAACTTGGCCAGAGGGCCTCACTATGGCATCTCACGCTGGCAGAGGAATGCGGGGACTGAGGGAATGAAGTTACCTGCTGTTTGGAGTTGGAGCCTCCTTACGCACTATGAGGCATTCAGGCCCCATTATGGTCTACTGCCACGCTGGGAATTTCAGAAATTAAGTCGTAGCAGTCCGGGCATATCTGCCAAGGTTTGAGAAATACGAAAAGTCATAGTAAGGAATTCTTTCCAACACTGACATGTGTCAATGCCTGCGTAACCTCATTTGTTCAACGCCATGCAACCCAAAGAAAGGTTTCGTGATGTATGAGTAGCTTCCAAATCTTCCACAGCTCCTGAATACACGGCATTCCAGATCCCGGTACTGCCTACCACGCATAGGTCCTATTCAGGCCAATTTCGCTGTAAGGCAGGGTAGTCACGGTCCTTCAAACTCTGAGAGTGTAAGCCCTTAATTAGTTCCCAAGCTTCAACCTCATCATGCCTTGGCTGAGGGCCGTGCCACCACTTACAATCCCCAGTTCGCAAGCCGAGGCGGAAGTTATGAGGAACATGGGCTTCATGGTGTTAACGATATTGAAGGCGTAGGTTAGCTTTGAGGTTTGGCGGCTGCCCCCGGCGGCCCGGGTGCAGCTCGGGGGTTTCAAGGTTTTCCGGGCGTAGAGCTGGGTTGCGCCCTTTTGGTACAGGGGGCAAACGTTTAGTAGCTATGCGTCAGAGGCGATAATCGGGGGAATCGGATGAAACTAAGTTTTAGAAGATTTTCGGCAGGTCTTGATTCCGAGGTTGCAGGATCTGGTAGGTCTTGCTTGATTTGGCGGTGTTTTCGGGAAATGCCGCAACACGTCTAGCGCCCGCACATCTTTCGGAAGATGAGCGCAATTCTTCACCTTAATCGGTACACCAGGGAGCCTGCTTCAAAGGAACGCCTTGCAGTTGTGTCGAAGAGTCTAAACAAGAGCGTGGGTTAGTTGCCAAGACGCTTGCAGCGGTTGCAATTCAGGAGTCCTTCGGCCTCCCAACACTGCTGTCACGGAGAGGGAGAACATTAGCGCTTTTGGGATATTAGAGAAGGAAACGAAGCAGTTCCACACCAAGGGTGAGACGTGCACTGCAGGGCGACAAGCATTCCTGGATTGGCAGACGGCCGAGCCGGTGTGGCCTGACTACTCAACGTAGAGGTGAAGAACTAGTAGCAGGTGTTTCTCCAGAAATTTTGGTGGCAATGTCACTTGTTCGACTTGCAAGTCCGCAGAGGGACGAATTCTAACTATCCAGGCACTGCCGCGCCTCCTTCGCCTAAAACCTTGGCATTTTGGTTTCCAGTCTGTTTCAATTCAACTAAGAGAAGCCTGTCTTGAGGACTCCCCAGCAAATGTCCTGGATGCCTATCAGTTTTTTGGTGCACTCTCAGGAGCCATGTGCGGTTCAGATA